GCGCTTAAGTATGGCGCCTAAGCGCTGTCATGCGGAGCCGAAGTGCTACCGAGTAAGGTATGTAAAGATATATGTAAGTAAGGGTCCATGATAAAAATAAAGATGGAACGATAAGCAAATGTGAGAAATGGAAATATACGCACTAGGGAACTTGGTGGACAGTGGATGGATGCTTCTGGATGGCTGGCGCTATAGGGCGCTCAAGCGCGGGAAAGCGCGCGCGCATATACATCGTGAAGCGCGGGAAAGGTACGCGCGCATGGCGCGCATTGCGCGGGAAAGCTGCGCCTCATATAGAGATAGCTGCAGGTAGCACACAGAGTGATGCTACAAGTTCGTGCCATGTATTCCCCAGTGAAAACTGCCATATTGCACAATGAGAGGCATGAGTCTCTACAGCGACACACCACCTGCCACAACATCAGTGTCTATTTCGACGTGTCCGTCATTCACGCTGTGCCTCCACTCCTCCTTGTGCCATCCACATATGTTCGAGTCATGTCAGCATTCACTGACGTGTGCTGGACATATGTGCTAAGCACTGGCAGTGATACCTATGGTACCCGCAGGTAAACCCTGCACAGGTGCGGGTGTGGGTAGGGGTCTGAGCTTGTTGTACCCGCCAAAAACCTGTACCCGTCAGAGCGGGTACAGGTTTTTGCCAGGTGCGGGTGCGGGTATGGCCTCCAATACCCAGGGGTTTACCCGTGCAGTTCCCTAGGTGAGTCTCGAGGGCTGGACAGAGACAGCACGTACCTATAATCATGAATGGAGCACTCATGAGCTTCTCCAGCGCACCTGTAATTATGAACGGAGCATGTTGGTACCTGGTGCAGGGATTTGGTGAGTCTCGAGGGCCAGGCAAAGATGGCACATACCTATCACCATCAATGGAGCACTCATGAGCTTCTCCAGTGCACCTGAACCTGGCAGCACATTTAGGAACCTATGAATATAATAATCGACTCGACTGGAATACATGAAGTGGGACTGGATTTCTGTGCTTGTGGGACCATGCAAACACACGTTAAGCAACTGCTACGCTCTCGACTCTTTCCAGCAACCGTTACTGACCCCAAAACTGCGGCTACTTTCGGCGTGCTCGAACAGTATCACTTACTGTCTTTTGAGTCTAAAGCCTCCGCGTTTGAGTTCTATCAAGCCCTCGCGCGCTTATCCAACAATACGGGCATGGATCTGCCAAAGGTATTTTATTTACTTATTGCGAAGCACTGTGATAACAAGAACTACAGGACCGTTATCCTACATTCTTGCGAGTAGTGCACGAATGGCGAATCCTCAAGTTGCTCAAACGTTTCGCTCGGGGACACTGTCCGGATGGCGTCGTGACAACAGAGCCTGGACAGTGCGCAGTGCTCTGCCCTGCCTGTCCGCACCCCAGAAAAAACCTGCCGGAGAACTGGGAGAACGCCTCGCTTGATAAGCGGTAAGTTCCATATTGGTTCAAAATTCTTTACCTTCTAATCCAAACACAGATGGCTGTATGCTTTATTCGTTGGCATCGATGCCAACTTCCGTCTGAAGCGGAAGTTGGTATCAAGTGATATTGTTGATCCTGGAGTCAGTAAGGGATGGTCGTATTTTGTGGAGGAGAAGGCGTACAAATCATATCTAGAAGACAATAAAGACCGGAACCAGGAGGTAAGTCTTTTTTTGGTCAACGATTGTTGCAAACAACTCAGTCACCGATAGCGCAGTACATGCGCCAGTCACAACGCTGTGAATATGGCCGATACAAAGAAGTCTAGAGGCCTTGCCGCTACAGGTGTTGGGACGGTGGATTGTGCCAGGCACAATATGAAACTTCGCAACGCAGTTGGTGACTTACAGAAGGGCGAGAAGTATGTATTCCCCATTGTTTATTTTGTCACGCTACCGCCTTACAACACTGCACAGGTACATTAATATGGATTACCTATTTTTTTCGGCAATGAAACACCACGACGTCATCGTTCTCAACATATCATACGATATCGCGTGTCAATGGTCCAAGCATCTGTGGTCACGGATGTCAAAGCTTCCTTCCGCGTTTCATCTGGATCACGACAACAAACAGGTCAACTTTCTTATTCCAAAATTCCATCTACCGGCCCACATCGAGCCATGCCAGATTGATTTTTCTTTTAATTTCTCTCGGCATGTTGGTCGTACTGATGGCGAAGCTCCGGAACGCGGGTGGGCTAATATTAACCCGATCGCATCAAGCACCAAGGAGATGGGCCCAGGCTCTCGGCGTGATACACTCAATGACCATTTCGGTGATTGGAATTGGAAGCGTGTTGTCCAGCTTGGTAAGCATTGTCGTTGGCATTTTGTTCTTTCTACTAATCATGATGCAATATTGCACTTAGGACGACTCACTGCTCGAAAATTAGCAAACGCCGTGGAGCAAAAAGCCGATCATCAACGCGAGCTTTTGGAACTTGAAAGCTGCCTGCAAGCACAAGATATTTCCGAATGGAGAATTGACATAGAGGCTTGGGAACTGGATCGCATGCAGCCAAATCCATTCAAGGTCCGAGTAGCATGTATGTGTTTTTGTTCGTTTCAATTTCTCTCCGTTGACTTTATTAGCCAAGACACAGGCTGCTATTCGTCTAGAACTCGCACGTATTGAAGCCGCAGAACTTGAGTCTGGCACAAATGTCTCCCTTCATGCAGAAGTCCCCCCCTCGGTATTAATCAGTTCCGCAATTGACCTAGAAGATCAACAGTAAGTTAACCAGCTCGTGAATTCACGAGCAAAGAACTAATGAGCACACAGACGACGTTTATCACATGAGATAGCAGCACTCGGCGCCCATGCAACCGACCACCAACTCGCTAAGGTCCAGCTGCATGCCAATACATTACGCAGGAAAGTTGATGGGTGGCAGGAGATCCAATTGCTTTATATGCCATTCGTGTCTCGCCTACGCGCCAATGAAGATTGTGCACGCTCCTCTACGGATGCAACACCCGCTGTCGAAGCTATTAATCTGTGGCTACCATCTGCAGTCGGCCCAGACACACAGTGTCCTACTCAGCTTCATCGCTTCGAATGGATGTTACGCTACGCCCAAGCAAATGATGCGTTAAAGGACATTCGAAATCTTTTGCGTCTCCGCTCACACCTATATAAATTCAAGGATAACAACATCGTCGGCCAAGCAGCTAATACCCGCGCAAGAAGTACTATCAATAAGACCGATGTCAAAGTCAGCATGGCCGCTGAGCGTTATGAAGTTGCGAGGGCGGCGCTCACTGCTCTGGCGCAGATTCTCGATGAAGGCCCGGCCTGGCAAGATATATTCAAGCCTCTCAATCGCAACAGGGACCTGAAATCGTTGAAGGACATGTGGGAAAAGGAGACGGAGGGGATGAGACACCTGTCGTGGATCTGGAAGACACCGGGGGTGGCAGAGGACGCCAGTGTTGGCCTACATGATGGTAAGGCCTAATATTTTTCAATTTGCTTGCACTGACAGACATGCTTATGGTTAGCCCTTCGTATCGAATGGTGCAAGGCGCGCGCGCGCACGATGCGATGGGAGGAGGAGGTCGATTTGCTGAAGGAGGAGCAACGGCGGGTCATTGCATTCCTGGACTGGCAGGCAGACTGGTGGTGGTGTCAAAGACAAGGCCGCGATTCAGAACACTTGGATGACTGCTTGAGGGAAGGTTTGAAGGCCTATGCCGAACGCCAGGCATCGCTGCGCAGGGCTTTATCGGCTCAATTTCAGGCATTGTGGACGACACCTACCCTCCCAGCAGCAACAAGCATCGACACAGCAACATTCACTGTTTGATTTTTGAGATACATGCTTGTACAGTAGTCACGTTTTATCTACTATGATGCATTTTGGCCTGCTATTCTCAGTGTGGTATGGGTGTCGGTCACCGTGAGAGGCAACAGTGGGCGTCGGTCACCGTGGGAGGCAACTATCATGCGTCGTGCATGATATCATGCAAGGCAGCGGCTGTTGTGCATGGCAAGACGCAATGCAAGACTGCGGCTGTCATGTATGGTGCCATGATTGTCATGCATGGGGTAACACTGCGGGTATCATGCAAGGCAGCGGCTGTCATGCATGGCAAGACACTATGCAAGGCGGCGGCTATCATGCATGACGGCAAGACACTACTATGCAAGACTGGGGGTGCAGCCAAGACACCATGCATGGCAAGGGACAGTGTAGCCTGATGTATACCATGCATGAATGACAGACTAGGATAGCAGTACAAGATGCATGACGTCTGTACTCTAGTAACAGTACTATCATGCATGACTACCCCACCATCAGGTGACTCACCTCACTGATATACACCACCAGCGAGACCCATCGTCTGGCCAACGGGTCTTGGATGCCGATTGTGCTGATTGTGCTGATTGTCGGTGGTCCAGGTCCAGGTGGAGCGCGATTGGCAATCGAGCCAAGGAAGGAAGCGAGCGCTGTGGCTGAGTCGTCACGTGACAAGTTTGCAGTCTTAAGCGAGGACTGCAAACGCCACCGGTGGGACCGTCAATTTTTCGCACGAAGATGAGTTATCGATGATAAAGCTATTGTCAATGACTTCACATCTTCTGCGTGTCTCACTACACGCATGCTAGTGCTATTGTTCTCCACAGCTCTGTGATGCACATTCTGATTCATCGAGAAATGGGTTCGAGATCGTCCTAGTCACTAAGATCTCTTCCCCCCCAATGGGCCCCCATCATGATAGACTCGTCATGGATTTGCCCCTGTCAGTCCTTTTTCTGTTCTTTCTGAAACTAGTATGCAACAGGATCCATTCTTGACTGAGTTTCAACCTCCAACACTCACCCACTGAATCAACTCGAGGACCAGTATCAATATGCTGAATCTGGTGTGATGAAACCTGCCATCTGACTCGAAGTACAGGATCATGGCAGATCGGTTTTCTCGTGTAGGAAGACCAATAGAAGGGAACCAGTCGTTATTCCTTGAGCCTACTATGGTATGTGCTTTTGAATTCACTCGTTAACGAGATATTATTGACTTGTAAGTTGTCGGCCGCCACGTCATCGTATTCAATACTTATTTGCTACTACGATGCGTTTCTCAACTTTATTGATCACAAGCTATCACCAGGCCTCCCGAACAGCAAGTATTCACTACGCGAAGCGCGTTGTGGCTGCCATGACCGGTCCATCATAGATCGATGTAGTCTATCCCGGCTCCGAGAGTAAATGTCATTATTGATGTGAGAGTACACATAGACTAAGAAAATTCTGTGAAAAGAAACAAATAGTAAGGAACGTCATGTCGACAGGCGAGCTACAGGGGATGACAGCAAGTATAGTGATATAAGTTTGATTTGACTCCAGGAGATAAACATCCAAATAAGCATCTTAAATAGTGATTTGATCTATGATTCGATTCTCTTGTAGTACAACACGTATGCTGGGCGTCCCTAAGAAAATCGTCAGGTTCGAGTCTCAACCTGCATATCAAAAGCTTACCACAATGTCCTTGGCGTCAGTTGGCATGACCCGACTGTCGTCACAATAAACCCATCCTCCACGAGAAGCGATAAAAGCGGTATCTGGACACCCGAGTTGTTGACAAAAAGGTAACATAGCAACAGCAAAAAAGCTCACAATGTCCATTGCTTAGATTTCCAAAATGATTCGTCACGCCGTATAGATCGTATTTGTATGGTGGCGTCTGTACTCGCGGATCACCAATACCATTCGCTGAACCTTTATGCATCCCAGGGGGTAGAGCTGGAGGCATGTAATTCGTCAGATCCAGACCCTTGAGAGGAAAGTCGACGACGGTCTCAATCTTGTCTGTGAATACCCCTTTGTGCGAGAAGCGCTTCAGGTGAATGAGCAGGATTGGTGGAAGGCGTGATAACGAGAGCTGTTTGGTGGCATTACGCAAGGTTTTGCAATGCGGACAGTGCCTGGTAATGACATGAGAACAATGCCATAAAATTACGCGACACTATACCAAGCCTCCGTTCCCGAAAGTACTTCTTCTTTAACAAAAGCGTCTAGGCACGACTGCAGGGATGTCTTGGACAGGCCTTTTACGGAAGGCATGGGAAGCGAAAGGTACATGAAGGAATTATACGTCGTCGATGTCTGCATGATGTCGCAAGCATTGTCAATTGTTTGAGAATGTCTAAGAAGATTCCAAACACACCTTACGACATGTCAAGCACACCAACCGATTCTTAAATTGTCCTTGAAAGAAATCTACAATAAGTGAATCGTTCCGCATTCGGTAAATCTCCCATTCTTGTGCACTGGCAATCGACTGAGGAAGCCGCTCCAGTTCGGCCTCGCGTTCAGGCGTCGTTCCGTTGGATGGTTTATGAAGGACACGATTGAGGTCCTCATGGAGACCATCAAGTAAGAAGGTGAGGAATTCTTGCGAGTCATGCTGGTCAGATCCTGAAAATTGAGGAGCATGTGTACATATTGATTTCTTGCTGACGAAGTCAGTTGTGCACCAATGAAGACAACAAACTTACCCTGAACGAAGCGGGGATCAGATGCGGAAGCTCGGAATGTGACATTTCGTAGAGAATAGTTGCGAACGCCGATGCGAGGTTCCCCTTCGTTCCCATGGGGTTGACCGCATTGACAGCCTTCTTCCACCGGCCTTCTATATCAGAGTCATCTCCCATAAGCCCTTCATTTGAATGTAGATTTTGACATTCATACATACCAGTGAAGAATCTCGCGAATGGCACCGTGGCACTGAGACACTGAATTGTAGCATTCATGTAACATGTATTTCCCAAATTCTTGAGGCCAACCGTGACAATCTGCATGTCAGACCAATATGTCACGGGATAATCAGACGCTATTATAGGCGGTTTGGGAGGCTCCTTAAGCGTGCTAACGGAATAGGACTGCGAGTGCGAATGATGTCGTTGGAACGAGGAGGAAGCAACCGGAGGGGGAGGGCGAATAATGTGAGAATGAGGTAGATCGGGGTAGTCGATGGGGAGGCGAGCACTAAACGACGCACTGCCAGTACCCTGTTCGACGTAGTCGCTTCGCCTCCGGACAAGCGGAGAGTGGTTGATGCTCGCTTGCGGTGGAATCGCTGGGGGGTGAGAGATTAAGGACGTGGCCCCTGACCTCGAAGCAGAGGAATGACTTGTGGTTGAGAAGGAGGGGTATTGGATCGATGTGAATGCCGCTGCAGAACCGTTCGCGAGAGAATGGGGTATCACGGGAGGTGTGCGGGGTGTCTGTGGGACAATGAGCAACGTGTAATCAAATTAGGGTAAATGCCACGTACACTATCAGGACGGCTATAACTGTATGATATGGATGACGGGATATGCGTAAGAATGTTCGCGCGGCTTATGGAAGCGGGAGTGTCACTTAATGTATCTGAATCGTGGGACTTAAGCAATAGCCTAGTACCGGTACATCAATACTAGACGCAGGATGGAAAAGGTTTAGCTTACCCTGGAGAATCGTTCGGCAATTTCGGAAACCGGCGTTCAGGTGATGAGGGTATGCCAGACAGGGCGTCATTTGTTGAAGGTTTCCAGGGGCGTAAAGCTGATTCGAAAGTTGACCTAGTACCAAAATATCAATATTGGACACAGGCTCGAAGAGTGAATGCTTACCCTGAGGTGTCCATTAGCAATTCCGGAAACCGGCGCTCAGGTGATGAGGGTATGCCAGACAGCACGTCATTTGTTGTAGGATTCCAGGGGTGGGAAGCCGGTTCGAATGTTGATATACCTCCTAGATCCTTGATTGCACTTGGTTTTTCCACTTCATTGGCTGCAGCGACTCCACCAGCAACTCGATCAAACCCCGTCTCTGACGATTCAGTAGACGTCGGGGACGGCGGCCCCAGTGACGACGGCGGGACAAATGCATATGGTGAAGGTGCTGTAGAGTTTGATGCGGATGAAGAGGTACTGAGGACAACAGTCGAGGACAACGAGGGAGACGTTCGATTAGAGCGGACTGGATCCGGCAGGTACAAGGGAGGAGGAGTCCCAGGAGCAACTTCCCGCGAATAGCGTTTCGTCGTGGGGTCGACGAGTCCATTTTGACTAAGCATCTTCATCCGATCTGCGAGCGACTTCATATTGGATAATTCTCCCTGATGAGGTGAAACACTATGGAAGAAAGAAGAGTCAATATATACGAGGGTCAATCTGTTGGGTGCAGCACCCACGTTGTCGTCGATCTCTCAAGATCAAGTTCAGCCTCCAGACCTTTGATGCGGTTCAGATAATTACTGTTTTCCTGTGGATGATATCATTGGATGGTACTCTACACTGAAGACATAGTGCGAACCTGGAAGAACTGTAGGAACTCATTGTAAATTGGGCTCCCTTTAACCCTGTCTGCGGCATAGCTGGGGTGCTCCGTATAAATCGCAATCAGGTTAGCTGCGATATAGAAGGCATGCAGAGCTGCCTTTGGGTCCCGAGCGGCGTCCTTGGATCGAGCCAGTTGTATCTGGGAACGGGCCGACCCAATGAGTGTTTTGGCACTAAAACCTTTACTGCATTCCGCAGTACTTTTAGCATGCTCCTTGATCTCCTGGACAGATCCTAAAGATGACAAGCCATTGTGCATAGTTGAAGAATTTAAGGTAGGATCGATAAGTTGTCGAGGCAGGTGTGCTCTATTAGTACTGTGAGTGTCTGGACCGAACCCTGCGAGACTAGGTGATGGGGAAAGGACAACGACACCAGGCATCCAAGAAAACGAAAAGAGTAGCCTCGAGTAGCCCCGAGTAGAGTCAGCGATTCAGTGCGTGGCAGGTACTGAGCCGCTCGGCGACGGAGCGAAATACTTGGCAGAACAACACAACTGAGTCCCACTGCATCGTGTGACAATATTGATCCCGATTACATAACTCAACATCAAGCCACTCTGAATATTAATGTTCTTTCCTGAACGACGAGTGCACTAGTATCGTACAAAGTTCATTTAAAATACAATGGGGTATTCAAAAAGACCCGCGTCTATCCATCCATTGTGTCATCAAGGGGGGAAAGACTATCATCAGGAGACTGGCCAGCACCGACCCCATTTCGGTGCTCAAAGTGGCATTTGTGGCACCGCCAACGGCCCGAGTAATGTCCACTCGGATAGAATGCAGGGGAGTATTGTGTAGAGCACATATCACATTGAAGCGCAGGCTCAGCCGAAACGTCAGCCGACGAGGCGCCGTCCGTGCGGATATTCAAGGTTTGGTCGAGTCTCCTAGCCTTCCGAAGTAGAGCATGCGCCTGAGTTACAGGCGCCTGTTTATAGATCCGGCAGTAAACTTGCAGAGCAGTCTGCCGCACCGCTTCAGCAATTCTAACAGGTGAAACATTGTGATCCCTCACCTCTCCAGTCTCATCCGTTTCACATACATCATATAGTTCCCGCCTGCTGTTCTCGTGTTCCTGGCAACATACGATAGGAACCATGTTGCCAGTCTCACCCTTGAAGGTGATTATACCATCCCGACGTGGATGACGCACCTGCAATAATTATCCTATGACGCAAAACGATGAAAAAAAAACGAAAAACCGTACCGGTTGGATCTCGAAACCAAAATGGTGACCTTTCCTCCAAGCACAAGATGAGTGGTATTCCCGGACACAGTCACTGCATCGGATGACTGCACCGCTGGTTTCGCCGCATAGAGCACATTTCTGCTTAATCGTGTCAACTAAATAAGGATAAAGGAAACGGATGCGTCCTTACAGATGCCCATCTCTGTTTGGGTATGGTGCTGATGCCCTCAACGAGCCGGAGTTGCGACACATCCGAGAAACTGATCTCAGGAGTAAAGACAGCACACAGTACGTGCGCCCACCCTTGTCCTTCTGTAGGCTTGGAAGCACGTAAGAATGAATCAGCGTTGGGGAATTGAACTTTCTTCTTGGATTTGCGCCGTGGACACAACAAACAGTCAGTGTGCTAGAGAATACAAGTTATTATCATACGGTTATGACAAACCAATTTTTTTGGTTGATTTACCATAGATGATTCCAGGGTCTCTTCATTCTGGCAAATGTCGCACATCCACGAGTCAACGGCGCTCTTGTCCACGTGAACGCCGCATGATGCTGTATATTCGTGCTGTTGAATTAGTGTATGACGTGATTAGATCAGCGACCTCACCTGCATGCACTCGGAATTGACACTGGTTACACTTCAGTACCTTACCCACTGGACCATTCTTCTGGCATGCCAAGCAACGCAGTTGTGGGGCCATTGGGGCATTAGGGGGAGGTGTCGCATTTACAGAGGCCGATGTTGAGGTCTTAGAGAAAACGAAAATGAATAATTGAAGTACCAGGGCGCGTCCGCCATTACCTTCACTCGTTTCGTACTAGGTCCATTTAGGGGTGTTCCTTCACGTTTATCCGAGCCCTTCTTGCTAGGCGGTAGAGCATCCTCGCGGACTGTACGGAAATTAAGGTCCGCATATTTACGCCAGTTCGTCCCACAAGTATCACAGAGAATATCAGTAGCAAGGCCCTTGGGGGCCCTCCACCAATTCTCCGATTCACGAGTACGGCATGCGCCACAGCTATTGTTGTGTCTGGACAATCCAGGCATGATTGAACCTTCGTCATCAGAGAATTGGTCGGTGACAGCCGCAGTGGCTGAGGGCAACTCATCTCTGCCCTCATCTTTAGCCTTGAGTCTCGCGGCTCTGATTTGTGCATTCTCTTCCTCTAGTCTCGAGCTGGATGGGAAAGAATAATAAGAAAAATCAGGGAAGATAATCCATGCCTACTTTTTCCAGTGCCCATAAAACCGCACGACCTCAGCCGTGGAACGGGTACCAATTTCGTCATGTACGGCCCGAAGTTCAGCGCCGTAGAGGAAAATGCCGTCCTCGAAAGCAGTCACCTCATCTGCGGTCCACTCCCGGTCGGTATGCCTCGTTTCGCCCTTCTTCCACTGTGAACCAGTCAGATTTTCTCACTAAAAAAAACCACATCTGGGACATTACCTTCTCTGGACGGGTGGGAATAACACTCATATCAACAGTGGACCAGCCGCGATTCAATAAATGTGCCTGAGTAAACCGCCTGAGGGCCTCGGTCAGCCAGTCGACACTGTGCAATTTTTCCGGTTTTCTGCTCAACACCACCTTCCATGCTTCCACTGAAATTTGTATTTTTAGCAAATGTGGTCCCCCAGATCATAAGGCACCTACTTTCAGCGACTGCGAAAAAAAGTAAGTTGTTTACCTAAGCCTAGGGAAGGCTAAAAATACGTACTTTCTTCATCTGTCAAGGTGTTGATCGCGCTCAGAACTTCGACGGTATAGTCTCCGCCCCGCTGTTCCGGATCTAAGTTGCCTTGAGCAGCATCCCGGGCTAAAAGGAGAAGAAACTTACCTGAAGGCGAGGGTACATCAAGCGTAGTTGGAACAGTAGCTTGATATTTGGGGCCAACGCGTGTAGCAGATCGAGGGAAGATGAGATCGTCAGGATCTATCGTCCAGATGTACTAAGCTTCACACATCCCGTATCAAACTCAAACTTACCAAGCGTATCTTCTGCCACTGTGTATTGCCTTCATGGGAACATGGGCAGTCAGCTTTCGCTCTTAAATACCTAACGAGATAGGGATGCGGTCAGGCGCATACACTTACCCAAAGTACCGAAACGGCCACATTTTAAAGTACTTGATCTCGACGTTTTCTTCCTTTTCCGCAAGGCTCCTGTCTTTACGCGGGCGTCCCCTGCCTCGTGGAGCAGGCGCATTAGACTTTGGCTTCGTAACGGGGGTCGGATGTCGAACATCATGTTTATCTACCTCCTCTTCATGGCGCTTAGAGCAAGGGGCGCATGTCCAGCCGTAGCCGCGTGATGGCTTTGCCAGAAGTGGAGGTTGTACGCAGCTCATGTGGAAGAAATTCTTGCATCTATCACACCCTACTGTGTCAGGACTGATGTTATGATGTTAGTATATGCACAAAATAAAAATGTTTCCTCCATCAACAACGTACTTTGCACACCATTCACTGCAGGTTGCACACAACCGCAGAGTGTCGGTGAGGTCTGGAACCACGTCTTTCTCAGCTACCACGTATTCGTATCTTGAGGTCAAAACCTGTCTGATGTGATCGGGCACTATAGGAAAATGTTGACTCGAAACCGCGGAGGTAACGAGAAGTTGTACGTACAATTCCGAACGTCAGTCGCTTGAATAACATCAAACTCCTTCTTGATATAAGGATCAAAAAGACGATTGAAATAAAATCTGTCAGGGCGCTTCTTCCATCCAGCTAGGTCGGTAATTTTATCCCTATGCAAAACGTGGCACCGGGAGCGAAGTTGGTTTATGTCGCAGATCTCTGAATATATGGCGGCGAGAAGGAGGCGAGAATCTGCGACCGGACGATCACTGACGTCGCTTGGACGATAATACCAAGCCAATCGAGCGCGGGTATATATTTCCTTTCCCTTCCCTTTGCCTTTGCCTGCCCCTTCCGGTGGCAGGAATTCCATGATACGGGCTATAGAGTATGGGGTACCATCTCGAACAGACCATGGTGGAGAACAATATACATGGTCTTCGTGATTCAAGTCAGAATGATGTCAGAAGACAATATGGAAAGGAGTTGGATTTTTACCGTTGACTTTGACCTTCTCCCCGCTTTTCAGGGTAACCTGAGCTGTCATAAGCGCTTGCTGGAAAGATTGTAGGAAAAATCTGCAGGGGATCAAAACATATCCTTTGACCTTAATCAAGTTCAATACCGTAAAAAATTGACTCGTCTTGGCTGTTTATTGTGTTGTTGTGTGGATAGTATGAGCTGCACAATGAAGGAAACGAGGTGGAGAAGGTGTGATCCACGAAAGGCAGAAGCCTGCGTAGTAATCAAACTCCGATGGGCGCGAATATTCCCGCCGGCTCACACAAAACACCAATATTTACAAGCTTCCCACTACTACACATGTTAATTTTCAGCTTATATTTTCTTGGTTGTTTTCACGAGGACAAAGTGAAACCAATGTCTGAGTTTGTTGCGACGCGGACATGTTTATAGCGTGGCACTCTTGTGTCGGAGCTGGACATTTGTTGCCATTTGAGTTCACAACTTCACATGCCGTACTGGCCGTACCTAGCCCTGGACAGGCCTCCCGCTAGCTGTCGACTTCCGCGATACCGAGGAAGTATGTAGCTTGTACATCGTGTGCAACACATATGTAGTAGTTGACCATCTTCAGGAACCTTCCGCGAGTTATATGATGCATTCGTAACGGATGATTACTGTGAATTTCCCACTGCGGCAGCATTGTCAATGTTAACGCGCGCTTGTCTACTGATACAGTACATACGTTGACTTTCCACGATGACACCAAAGAAGAAGAAGGCTCAAGCCTATCCGAGCGGGCCTTGAACGCGGATTCTATGGGGAGATAGTGAGCTTATGATGCAATTTCGTATCCTCAGATATCTTACAGTCACTTTCCAGGTTCATCAGATCTCATATACACCCCTCCGCATGCTGCTCGGCCTCTTGTCTTGCAGAGATGTCCAAGTTCAATGATGGTACTCGACGTCAGCTTGTTGAGGCAAAGATGGGCGATACGGCGTCTGTTCTCTTTACCCGTCAGCCCGAGGACTTCACGGGCTTGCCACTTCCTGTTACACAGACTAGTACTGCAGATTCAGGCCACCAAAACACGAAAAGATGCGTTTATTGGGAATGTTTCATGAAGCGCATGGGTACCGAGTCCCCGTCCTTATCCTCTGCGCTTGTGGACAGTGTTCGCGATAGCGGTCAAGTTCGGCTAAGAACAGAAGATGGTACTGACGTTGACGAAGTCGACGAAATTGTCGTGGACCGAGATTGGACAGAGGATATAAAGAACTCGCCGGACCATTCGGAATACGCTTTGGATAATTCAGGGGATAGCCACATGGCTCATGTCGGTGCAAGGACTGGTACAAGCGTCGGCCATGAAAGTACAGCGTTTCCAGATGATGGTGGCTTCTTCCGTCAATTTCTCGTTCTTCTCCGCTGGGAGGTTTGGCCAGCAGTTCATAAGTTTTTTCTTGTTCGTTTCAATGACGAAAAGACGGAAGAACGATATCAGGGGGAGCGTTGGTATATTAGAAAGGTACTGTGCCTTCTGGACTTCCCTGCTACCTAACTGACGTTTTGTTCAGCCGTTAGCAATTTGGTCGGCCATATTTTTCATTGCCAACTGGGTCATTGGAGCAGCAACAATTGCCACGCCCAACACCACACTCGATAAATCATGGATATGGGGTGTAAGTACAAATGTCGTTTGCATGTATTGGCCATGTTCATATTTTACAATAGTTTATACCTGCGCATACCATTCCTCTCCTCATCTTGGTTGTATTCGATTTCCCACGCGACTGTCGAATACCTTACCAGTTGCTTTTAATGATCTCAACGTGGTCATGGTGAGCGTCATAGATATGTAGCTTGCAAGTACAATGATTTTGACTTCCCCCGAGGTGTCTGTATGAGATCGTGACAATGTGAGCCTTAGCGTTATGCCTTCTACTAAGACTCTGATACTGGGTAAAGGTATGTATGTGGATATTATAGTGCAGATAACACATGCGGAACAAAGGATTTCCTCGGAACATTCTAGTGCGTGGTACCGGCCTTCGAGCTCAAAACTACTTATCATTGCTTCTAGCTATACCTCTGCATTACAAACTATAGCACTATTCGGGATGCGGATGAATAGAATCGCCGCTATGGCGGGGGCACTGACTTTCCTGGTTATGTGAGATATGCACGAGTTTATGTATTGCGAGGCCTATACTGATTTCTCATAGCTCAAGTACTCTTATTTTGCCATATAAGCCAATATGGACCAAGCGTGCGTTGAATGTTTCCGGTCTTATCCCCCTAGCTCACTAAAAATTCCAGACATGCTTAATTTTCTCCTGTATCACATATTCCTCTTGTTTGTGCATTACATGCATGAGAATGTGGGTGGAACAAGTGTTCCTCTCTTTTTTATTCTCACCTTCACAGTCTGAACGGCGTCTCTTTATTCTCCGAGAGCAACTCAAAACCCAATTTAAGGCTACCCAGAAGGCTCAAATTAACGAGAGAAAAGAAGCGGACTCTAAGAGGAGGCTTACGTCGTACGCATCATGTTCGCATGCCTGCATAGTTTGCTGACTATTGTTATTAGATATGTCTTCCATGATAAGTACAGTATCTTCTTGTCTTCACCTGACTCACCAGAAATTTACAGGTGCGAGTGCCCTTGAACACAGCTCGTAGGTGTTATCAGGTACAGGATAGCTAGTGCTGATCTCGAGCGTCTAGTGCTCGCCGTGCAGAATATGGAGGCGTCCTGCGCTGTATCTAAAGCGCAAGAAATAGAATTCATGGCATTAGGGGGTAGCTTGGTAATGATGTCTAAAGGTAAGTCCGTCTTCGTTTAGTTTCTGCAGCTAATTAATTGCTCAGCAGTTCTCAATGACATGCTTGACTTGCTTGAGTAGCTCCCTCCCTTCTAGGAACCGTGTCTGACATCGTTCCTAGCAATCGCATGGATAGTGGTCTGTTCGAGATCTTGTCTAAACCTTACAAATTCCATGCTGTTATGCGCTCGTTGTTCATTCCACTGCGCATGGCAACAGATGCCCGCAATCTTGAACTCGTAACTTCTCTTGACGAGACCATCGACAAGGTTGCGCGACAAGCCGCTTTCGAGGCTGCAGGCGATAATTTGGCAGGATCTGAGGAGTATCTGAACAACAAGGAAGACGGTATCGTTCTTGGGGATGCTACTAGGCTGCGACAGATCATCAACAATCTCGCAAGGTCTGCAGCTATCCATACGTCATCAAGACTGTCTGGAGCATTTCATTTTTAGCAACGCCTGTAAATTTACCCCTGCGGGAGGCAGAATAATGTGTTCAACACGTCTCATATTTCCTACACATCCTGCGCCAGAACCTTCATCAAGACCAAAGATTGATATAGGCGAAGATGCGATAGAGGAGGTACTCTGCGCCCCCGCTGATGATTTTGATCCACTACATCCAACAACGAGCGGGGGACAGGACATGGAATTTTCAACAAAGAAGGGCCCACCGAAGCAAATCGTTGTGCGAATTGAAGTTAGCGATACAGGACACGGAATTCCGCCCAGGGAGATGGCGCAGGGCAAGCTGTTTTGTGAGTGACCGTCTTGTGAATTCGTTGCGAGATGCTCACTTTTTCAGCTGCATTCAATCAGACGGAGCAAGGTAGACAACAAGGCGGAAAGGGCACCGGTCTTGGCCTGGCCCTCGTCCGCCAGATCGTAAGGCTGAGTGGCGGTCGGCTAGGCCTGCGTTCTAAAGTTGGCCATGGGTCAACATTTTGGGTCGAGCTACGTAAGTTATCTAGGTTGTTCAGCCCGACTTTAATTGTTTATGCACATGTTTTGCAACAGCGCTGGGTGTCGGAGTTAAAGTCGTCGATGAACCAGACGCGGAGTCGACTCTGCGCGAGAAGCAGCGCACCTTTGAGCTAGCTGGGCCGCTATCAGTGGATCTACTGACAAGCAGTGCCCCGACGCAGTCAGTCTCGACAAACATTATGCAGACCATGATGGACGAAGGTCAGCGTTATACATACTCTGTTCATCGTGTAAAGCAAACATCCGATTTTAGGGGGCCTGGTGCAGTTGAATTTACCAAATACAGTTAACAGCTCTGAAACTTACAGGCTCACTCGGACTACCAGCAAACTCTCGTCAGGCACACAGCTTGGTCCTCCGTTACCCACTCCACCTGTCGATGAGTTTGGCGAGAACCTGGGTAGCATCATGTTCTCTCGAATGGGAAAATACTCAGTTGACAGCTCGCCTACGGTCGTTGCGGATTCGCTGAAGAGTCTTGATGATGCTACCCCACTTCCAGCTATGTCATCTATGTCAACTCGCCCAGATCCACCAGTTCGACAGCCAGCTTCCCAATTATCGGTGTCCCTACCTTTGCCTTTAAGCCGCAAAGGGTCCACTGCCGGTTTTGATCCGCCTATACTTGTTCTAGTCGTTGACGATGACCGCATCACTCGTACCGTCATGTCTCGAATGCTGACGAGATTGGGATGCGACGTCTCAACCGCTGAGAATGGTGAAATTGCGTTGGAGATGATCATCAGCGGTCCAGGCACTTCGAAGACCGAAGATGGATCTAATTCTAGGGTCTTCGACCTCAATCATGATAGTGAAAAGGACCAGAATGGTAAAGGGACCGAGAATGGTTATGCATATGATGTCGTCTTTCTTGACAATCAGATGCCCGTTATGTCTGGTTTGGAGGTGGTTTCCAAACTTCGAGAGATGGGTAGGGCCGATTTCGTCGTTGGAATTACCGGTCAGTGCTGCAATTGAATTGTGCCCTTAAGTGTTCTGACGCTGAAGCAGGTAATGCACTCATCAATGACCAGAAAGAATACTTTGAGGCGGGTGTGGACTAGTATGTGGCTTCCCTAGTTCATAACGTTCAAGTCCAACTAAATTTCTATCAGCATCTTGACAAAACCTGTCTTTGAATCTAGCCTGGTCAAAATGTTGACGATAGCGGACGAGCGGCGGCAAAAGTTATGAACTTTGACGACCTTGATACCAATGGGCTTATTTGTCCTCCTTGTTTACAGCACTCTCATCTACCGTAGACAATCTTACGATGTTCTTTATTTTGGACTTTTTGCGTATAGGATCGCACAACATGTACCATGCTAGATGTTGTTATCTATCTTTATTATTCACTCACGCTATTTAGCCGCCAGGCGATATGAAAATGAAAGTTTGGGAGCAAAAAGACGATGGCTGACTACTAATTGCTGATTGAATGATAATAGTCGACAAATTCTTGTCCCCTGCGTCAACAACTAGTAATCATTGTTCGCAACGGAGGTGTATATATTCGGGTTGGGTGTGATCGGGCACCCCGTGAAAAGGCTTGCTAGAGACAATCCTTTTACAACGAGAAACAAAGGTCTGGCAATGGCTTATAATCGTAAGTACATTAGAACTGTATTTCAAGACTGCACGACGAACAGCGAACCTGTCAGGAGTCATGTTGTTTACATAGGTGCAGCTTTGTTCAGGGACGAAGATTTGCGCGAGGTACAGTAAGTATTGAGCGAGGCTGGAGATGATCTGCATCTGGAACCTGAAAAAAAGCTAGAGTTGTTACCCTTCACCTTCGAATACATTACAAGCTTCCGTAGAATCTATGTTTCAGTTTTCACTTCCTCCTCTATACCGTCATTCTGTGTCCACTGAGATACATGAACCTGCGAAGGCTTCATAGAATACCGCTGCGAACTCCTTCTTTCGATTTCCCCGCTATAAGCCATCGGGAGGAAATTTGGAGTAGTTTGCCAGGGTGTAAGGCGAATCAACACCATGTAGAAGGCAATCGAAATGATTGGCATGATCTAGGTCGAGTTTCAGTCTCATAACGGGCGTTGACAGTTATAATTACCATGTCCAGCATAATATACTGGGCGTTGTTCGCGCAGATGAAACATATTAGTATGGTCACCAGGGCTGCAGAGTACAAGATGGCGGCATCTACAAGCACGTGCACGATGGGCATCATGGTGCCATTCGTAGCGCGATTTTGAGAGATTTTACGTTCCACCGTCCAGATGCGATACACAAGTAATCCTGGATAAATTCAGGTCGTTATGAGCTATCGACATCGTGTTAATGCGAAAGCAGGCTTACCTGAACTTATCAGATTAGTTGAAAGTGTCAAGGTAAACAATGCCGTGATCCATTGTCTAGTCTGATTGGTGTAGACGTTTCCGCCAGTTGCCTGCGAGGCATAGTAGGGTGCGATTAAAGCAGCCACTTCAATACAAAATCAGTAGTCAATTCCCCGAGTACGGTAGCGATCTGACCTGAGGAGCCGCACCACAGCATGCTTGGTAGAATAATTACCCAAACGGATTGCCAAACGACATAACAGCGATAAATCTTTTATCATACAAGGCTTTTTAAGCCCAAAGAGCTGTAAGCTGGTAAATAAGAATAAAACACACCACCACGCCATCGCCAATCATAGTTTGCAAGGCGTATATCAGGTTCTTTGTCACAAATGTTGGTTGGCTGATGTCTTGGAAGAACGCCACTGGTCCGCCAGGAAAGATGTCGCGATACTTGACAAATCCATCTTGGAGACGAATGATGTCTACGATCAAGTGCTGGGGCAAATTCAGCAGGTGGCATCAGGTGTAAGAGGTGAGGGGCTCACTGCAGTGCTTAATATCAACAGCAGGATTGCCGCCAAAGCGATCGGGCGATTTGCGTCACGTTTGTAGTGGATCGACGCCCACATTGTACCCATAAACATGAGAACTGAAAAGCCTGAAGAACCCTAGGTTGATGGGCATGGACAGATGCTCATCCTAGTACTCACCAAACAAGATGCCTTCCAGCGCTGTTGAAATTATAGTAGCGGTATCTAGCGGAATGCCTGTTGAGACCATGGCGAGAACAACCTGGATGGCTTGGGAATATACGAGACGAGGACAATACGAGGGCCCAACTTTATAGAGCCTTGGTGTCATCAGCGGTCTAGCTCATCAGGGTGTATTTTTGGAACATGCTAACCTAAAAAAGAGAAAGCACTCGTCTTGTTGTGAGATGGAGATGATTTGCGGATGGCGGATGATGCTTGAAAAATTATTGTCACGAGTGAAGAACTGCAAACAGAGAAAAGTTGACTAACACACAGTGAACATTAATACGTGAACGAACTATAATACATGGTGCATGATATCATATAAGCGCACAAGAGACACCCCTGTGTAAAGTAGTTAGTCACTGCCAAACCGTGACGTACCTCTAGAGACAGGCTGTGTCTCTGGCAGTGCTCGAGCTTTACATCTGACCACCAATGCCCCGCTGTCAAATAGTTTTGAAAGTAGCTCTCCGTTACGGTCGCTCAGGCGATTATAACGCGTAAAGGTTGCTTGCTGGTTTTAAATTGATTGGACGGACACCTTGCCGTGAAGGTCAGATTCGTCCATAAAGACATACATCCGTGGGAAGTAATACCCGATTGTACGCAAGGTTCCGATGAAGTTCCGAGGACCGAAGGCCGTTTCCTGATCTAGTCACTTTTGTTCTGATATGTCTACTTCAAACACATTCCTGTCTTTCTCTCATTCCACGCTCCTTTCACATTCTGTCTCGCCTGTCTCTCCCGGAGTGTTACCGCCGTACCCAGGCTATCTCCAGAGTCATTTCACCTTTTGACATGGATGCTTGCCTCAATGCGGGGTTTTCAGGTGTAATCTACTGACAGCATCAAGTCTTCAGACCTTTCCAGACATTTTGGAACTAACGTTGGAATTTTAAGAAAAGATGTACGATCAGGCTACGGTTTTTGTATCTTATCTCCAAATTTCAACAAGCCTGGAACCTGGAGACTCTGCGAGTCGGAGATGATCGATGACCACCGACTACACCGCCAGTATCTTTTTTTATCGTCCGCAAGATGGTTGCTTCCGTAGGACGGTTGGGCGGTTCGTATTCGTTCTTTTAGTTTATTTGTCAGTCATACTTACTATAAAACGTAGGACTAGCCTACATGGTAAAGCTCGCTGCGTTGACTCCTACTCGTTCTTTCCTCGCTCTTTTTCCACACAAATCGTCACCATAGTGTCAGCTACTTCTAGGATGTTTTCGGGGGCCCTCGTGATTGAAGCCGTTGTGTTGAGAAAGGAATGGACAACGCGTATTCATCCAATTCAGCAGACGATCAATTTCGCTTTTAGCAAAATTGTTCATGTGCTAAGTTGGCAGTTACATAACTCATTATAAGTAACTCGATTGACCAGAATTTGAATTACTTTTGACCGTATACATCAAGTTTAGCCCTGACAACGTCTACTAAGTAAAGTGCCACATCGAAATTGCGAATACCAATGTTGGTGGGAGGTGGACTCGTTGATGCTCACAAATCATTATGGGGGAGGTTCACGTTCTTATGTTGAAAGAGTTCGCCACCATACATGCATATCAGTATCGAGGATCATGAATATTGAAATTAGATATTCGGAACGAATACAAGTGCTTTACTTTTCAACGCCATCTGCAGAGACGTCCACTGCAGAAAGACACTGAGGTTAGTCACTTTCCTCCTAAGTACAGCTGTCGTTCGGATTCGTCGCCATCACAAAGTCCGAATCAATGAGCTGTTCTGCTCTAATATTCCAGCCAAACCTCCAAGGTGTGCTTATAAAGTGGCCGCACCACTAAGGATGGCGCATGTAACGCTACATCCATAATAATTGATGTTACTCTACGTACAATGATATATTCTAAGTTGTCTTTGCAGAGCTAGTGAGAGTACATCCACCATGCGCATAGACATTCCGTGACTGGCGTGGCCGTGGTATATCATCATGGTGATACTTTCCATCGTCCGGTGAGCTGGTTAGCGCGGAGAACAAGCAGGTCCCTGAGCATTTGTAGCGAGTCCTTGACAACATTCAGTTTGCTCCCCGCCACCTCATGCCATTGTACAGGAACTTCTGCAACAGGTATACCCAGCTGCTTCGCAAGCAGGAGTAGCTCAACGTCGAAGATCCAAGTGGCAAGATGTTGTGCAGGGAAAATCTGCTGTGCAGCGCGGCGTGAGAATAGTTTGAATCCGCACTGCGTGTCACGAATATGCCCCACGCCCACTATGCGTAGGATAGTGTGCAAGCCATACATGAGGATGTTACGGAGTACAGAGCGCTAACGGAGAGCGATGTAAGAAGTCAGTCGTGTCACACCGGAGAAAAGGCGCACCTTGACCACAGCTTCGGTCTTGACGAGGTGCGCTCGACTGCCGACGACCACCGTCGGCTCGTTCTTCGGCCCAAGTTCGTCCATCTTCTTCCACAGTAGCTCTAAGTCTTCAAAGCGACTTGCACCGTCCGCATCCACCATTAACAGCCTGTTTCCGCGTGCGTGTAGCATCCCATGGCGTACCGCACCGCCCTTGCCAAGGTTCTTTTCAAGGGTGACAACCCGAATATCGCTATTGAGGTGTTGCTGTGCCAATTTTAACGCAAGTGCGGACGTGTCATCTTTTGAACCGTCGTCGATGATGATGAGCTCGTATGTGCGTGTCTGGCGGATGGAAGTGGAGTTAAGGTGATCAAGTGTCGTTTCGAGCATGGACGGGAGACGGGATGTCTCGTTGTACGCGGGAATGATGACGCTGAGATCAATGGAGGCTGCATCGGCGAGAGATGGAAGGCTGAGAGGATCTTTGAGGGACTTTCGTGAGCGGTATGTCTTTTCCGAGAGTCGGGTTATTATTGGGGGAGGCGAAAGCAAGATGAGAGCTAGATAGAGCTAGTGATGATTAGCGAAATTGTTAAAGCGGATTGATATGGAGAAGATGGTCAGGCAAGAGGGAAATGATTCCCTGACCCAGGATTTGTCGTCCTCGCCACGGCGCAACGTCTCTCGAGACGGCCCGTGGCTCGAAGAACAAGGATGAAATGGGTGCTCATCATACAAAAACGAAAGACCAGACATTGACGTTGAAATTATCACTCACGCAAGGTAACGATATGGCCAGAGCAGTTAACAAATAACCAAGGACAGATTGGTCCATTTTTGAAGACTCCTTCAAGGAACCATACGGTAAATTGAAGCCAATTGAGATGAAGTTTGTCACGCAATGTATCATGTCACACAACATTACTTGACTCTGAAGGACCGCAAGTCCGCAACGTCAGACACACCCCGTATACTTCCCGCCGCTGCCGCAAACCCAGAACTTCGATAGCTTGGGGGCGTTCATGGAAGCAACGAGGAAATATGGTATCATGATGGAAGCACCGACTTTGAAACAGGCGATCGTTCTGAAAGGCTAGCGCAACTCGGAGCTAGCCACTCGCCGAGAGTTCGTTCGAAGCCCATCAAGACAGTCATCTACAAGCGACTGTCTATCCCACCCGCACCGCCTCAGTCATCTGACCGACCTCCCACACCGTCGGTCTCAACTCCTGCTGCTCTAAAATCAGCTGCCTCTCCTTCTGCTCGTCCCTCACCGCTAGTACAGCCACCATCCACAGAGGAACATCGGCCGTTTATCATGGCTTCTCTGTTCATGTCGAAGTACTGCGGCACCCTTTCCCAAGTTTGCATTTTTCCATCGCCACTCTTACCCATCAGGTCTGCAGATCAGATTTATCGCACGTGTCTGGGCGTACTTTTATCTACTACATGGCAGTTGGGCTTACGTTGTGATCGCTGAGGTTCATGAAACCGCAGCAAACGTGGGGTTGACCATCATCATGGTGACCACGCTCTTTGTTAACTCCGAGTCGGAAGTTTTGACTCGGAGTGCTGTGGGCTTCAGACTAGGTGAACTATGCAGTTTCTACTGTCACTTAGGAGGAAGAAGACGGACAGAGTACATGGAGCTACGGAATTTGGTGGCCTCATTCTTGATCTTCTAAAAGAGTGTCTTGGGTTTATGACTCAGGTTCCGTGCGAGGGCTTCTCTCCGGAACGAGTGCCTGCACTCCCCATGTTGTCTCAGCCCTGTTCAGGGATGGAATTAAGAGACTCAGGGACTCATTTCGCACCCGCAGGTGATCTCTCCATCTCTTCTACCGGACGTTTCCGCAAAACTTACAATCTCATTATGCAGATGCCCGCTGGACTCCCACCAGCGCTGGGATACACGTTCTTCCGCGAACATCTAGTAGCGTTCCCTGCATCCAGCAGTTTGATTCACAGAATAGCAGGTATTACAGCAAACTTAGATAACATCGCCGGCAATGTGTTGGTGGTGGAACATGCCCGAGGGCGGAGTCTACTAGTTCGGACCAGGTTCAAGAATCCTGCAAGTCCTTGAACCGTGGACCGGACCAATCCTTCTATTTCCTGAACTTTGAACCGGCCTTTTGGTCAGGTTCAACGAAACGGTTTAGGTTCGAACCGCGGTTTAGAACTGGACCCGGCCACCACTATTGCTTAATCATCTCAAATTGGCGTTATCTTAACCTGTACTAAACGTTGTGTCTTGTATCAGAATCTTCCATCTTGCCAAGATTTTACTCCAGTTCTTCACAGCAGGAAGACAGGTGGCAGCCATATCGATTTCCTGGCGTCTTTATACCACGTGGTGTCAGTCATAATTAGCCTCCCCGCTCAAGACTATCGGAGTAAGCCGACGGCACGAAACTGCGAGTTGTTGCTGACGTAAAAGATTCCTGGGCACACCGGGCAGGAACCAGTTGTTAATCCCGATCACATGTAGGCTCGGGACCAGCCTGGCTTATATAACCACGGACAAGTCGAGTGGCGTAGCCAGGCTGGTCGATCTCGGAGAGATTTGGCAGGCGAAGCATGGAGTTTCAATTTAGCAGGTGCCGGTCGTGCCGGTCGAAGTAATAGTGCTACATAGTTACTAGGGGTTTGCTGTGCGAACTTATGACCTTGCTCTGGAGAATTTTTAATTCGTGGGAATCGGCCTTGTTGACCTCTTCCAACACTCGTCGTTTTCGGACCCCAAAATCTGCGTGACGGCAGTCCTAAGTCTGCTTGTTTTTTGTTTTCACTGCGATAAGTCATTTTTTTTCAGCCAATTAATAGGTTGGCCTTTAGCATATTCGATGTCGTCTTCAGCTTGGTCCTAATATTGCCTTTTGAGCATGTTCGATAAGCCGATTAAAACATTGTAACAGCACACAAAATGTACGAAAGTTCAACAAATCCAAATAGACCAATGCGGCTTCACGCGCTCTACCATCCTCACTATATCACCCCGTGATTTTTGCATCTGCTGAAATGTTTTGTATTCCAGATCCGGGCACCATGCGATTGCTCTTGCACTCGAACATAACTGGGAGGCTCTTCATCGCGTGACACTCTTTGAAGTTTGACTCCCAACTTCAACTACATACGCACGAAATGGCAACCGAAAGAGATCCGTTGATCTCAAATGGAACACAAGATCATCGTCTGCCTGGCCCTCGAGACATTTCAAGGTCGACGCGTTACGAAATTTTGGTTGGTCTGTGGTCTAGGTGCCCAACCTACAATTAGATCCAAAGTCGGCGAGTGGTTCATCGACCGTTCGAAATACATCCCTCTTCGACGCTGTACTTCAGGTATCCGAGTTATAGTATTCAGCGCTTACTCTTCCGGGCGAGCAGAATCGAAGCACTCGAGTGCTACCGATCGTCCATATCCTCTCTCTTGTTCTCGTTCTCCTCCTTGTCTTCTTCCCTTCTCCTGCTCTCGTCCATCGTCCGTATTCGTCTGAGCCACATCAGCAGTTGCTGACGTGTGCTGGGCGTTTGCGCATGGTGTTCATGGTTTTGGGAACAGCATGGTGGAGCTCAGACATCGATTACACGGCCGCGGCTTGCATGGGCCTAAGCCCCGGCTTTGGGCCGGCTTGGGCTCACGGCTCAGGCTTGAAATCTAGCGAACCTAAACCCCCCCCCCAAGCCGAGCCTAAGCCGGGCCGGAACATCACTAATTTAAAATTGTATCATGACATCGAGATCGAGCTCAGAGTTTGACTGTATTTCATCGAGACCAAGTTCTGAGTAGCTAATTGGATACTTTATGAAGTAGTTTTGTGTATTCATATTGATGCAGTTCTATTATTTTTGATTATTGCACAGCATGATGTTCATGTCAGGTGACTGACAGATTATCTGCCATCCGACATGACCTTGCTCCGCAAGGTAACTGTCGACTATCAATCACTCAGAAACTTTCGTTCGCGCACTGCTGCATAGAGTACCACATTTTTCTCGCTTTTGCGCTGCATCACTAAAATTGAAATAGGATACTTCAAATGATACCATTTGCTCCATATTATACTCCCCCACTGCAGTATGCCCTGCCGCCTGAACCTTTAGCATGGACAGTGGACCCTCGCAGCCTCAGCAACTCTCATGTACACTCCAGAGTGTCTTGTCATGAGGAGTGTCATGATTGATTGCGATTGAACGAACCCCATGCTCCTCGAATTCCTTGACCTGTAATCCAGAAGCGCAAATTTCACGCGATGAGAGTGATATTCAAATATTCAGCGTACATGATCTTTTTAAAGCAATTTTAAAGGTGTAACTGTGATAGCCATCTTGTCGGGGGAGAGAAGCAAAGGTAAAGCAAAACAGTATAGTGTCTGCCACACAATGTCTAGATGTACGACGACACTCGGCACAACCGGCACCTGCTAGAATTTGAACTCCATGCTTCACCTGCCAAATTTCTCCGAGATCGACCAGTCTGACTACGTCAAAAATTCCCCACTCTCATGTGACGTACGTCAGACTGGTCACGAGTCTAGATCACATGCCCGATCATACCAAAGTACAGACCTGAGAGTGTGGCACTGGAGTACAGTCAGCGAGGCCGTCAATATCTGCGTCATTGTGCCCCATTACGCTTCCTCCAGTCTAAATATGCTACCTCTCCGTGCTCAGGGTAGTCGACCCGCATTTTCCGCGAACCTCGGCGATCACCTAGTGTATAATTGCGGCTGTACGCTGGCCTGGTGAGCTTTTCGCAATTCACTTCTGTATGCCACTTCCTAGTAATTATCCCACCACCACTCCGTTGTCTAGCACCACGAGTCACAGGTTGTTAGTTTTCAATACGAAAGTCACTTACGTGTTACCTTTTGCGTCTGTACCTCCGAGTTAGACCTGATTCTCATTCATAATTTCATGACCCTTTCAATGTGTCCCGGGGGGCATCGCATCTTATATTAAGTTCAGCCTCATCGGATTCTTGCGCGCGAGACGAATATTGTCGGAATGAAATCCTACGAAGGCTTGAGGCGTCGACACGGCGCTTGTTAAGTTCTCAGAAAGTACTATCATAGGTATGGAGATTACTTGAACATGATGGAGAACTCAAGCTAACACTTCTGACGAGTCTCCGCCGTGTCTAATTTGTCTCATATAATGCTTACGCATGATAGGTTAGATTGTGTGGACATGAGCGAGGTCAAAGTTACCGTAAAGGAAGCTCTGAGATGCTGGCAATCCATGACAAGGCTGAGGCTGTACTGATTGATTTCATTCGGATAGACAATATCGAGATCGGTCTCGCGAGAATCCCATGAGGCTGACTGAGCGGGGTGACACATTGAAAGGGGTCATGACAGACGCCATGTTCTACACTACCACTTGTCATTCCGCGCAAGTCAGTCCTTCTCCAAGTTCCGACTACAGGATCTGACTCATAAATTACAGGCGTCGACCCAGTGCCATTTACAGGACTATTCGGGGATCGTCAGTAAGTGAATGTATCGCCACCTCTATCTCATTTTGACAAATACTTCCGTAGTCCTCACCGTCGGATCTTTTGTACCATACCTTTACTACGGATTCTACTGTGAACCAGCCTTGTAAGCCTGTTATCTATGTTCCATCGCACTAGTTGGCGCAGGTCGGTGTTGTTCATTGATACCAGTCCATTAGCAAGTCATTTACCAATATACGTTTTAAGGAGCAGCATATATCGTTCTCAACCCTGAATATGCAAAACCAACACATCAAGGTGCACGTACCGGTGTTTTCATTGGTCTTGGATTGTCCGCTGTGGTCCCAGTTGCTCGTTTATTGGTATCGCATGGGGCATCAAAGCTATTTTCCGAAATGGCATTTGGTTGGCTGCTCGCATCAGGTGGACTATGCATTACGGGCGCATTGATTTAGTGCGTAGGGCCTCGCCGATTTCCCACTTTCCACACATATGTCTGACATTACGATTAATCCCCGCGCAGTGCCAATCGCATGCCGGAACATCTGGCCCCAGGGAAATTCGACTTACTCTTCACATCACATCAAATATTTCACCCCTGTGTGGTTCTGGCCGCTCTGGCTCACGGGATGTGTGTATTGACTGCCTTCGATCATTGACATTCTGGCTTAAACAGATGAAGATTGTGACATGCTGGTGTTGCGTCGCTGCGTCGTGAGTATTATGCTGTGGTTGGACAGCCCTGGGAAAATATTTTGTCGAACATGCCCGAATTCACCTGTACAGCAGGGTTCACGGCTCCGGCGGAGTCGTTAGCGCGGAAACAAAATGCACGTTGCAGGGTGTATCCGTAAGCCTAATGGAAGTTTGGTCATCCTTATTTCAATCGACAGATTGAATGGTCTTGATTGTTTGCCTTCGGTGACCGTGCACTGTATGCGTGTGGTTATGAAGGTGACGTGTATGTTAGATGATAGATGGATTTTGCACTACTAGTAGTGAATGGGATCGAGGCTCTGATCCACCAGCGTCCAATGGACGATGATGAATAGATGTAAAGATGCCTTGCCACACCAAGACCTCGAGGCTTTGTCCGAGTTCTATTTTTTAGGTATTAGAGAGTGCCACGATGCAGGGCCGGATGTACCAACTCTGGCGACCAATGAAGTGCAGCACGAAGTACGTTAGGCTACACTGCGGTGCGTCGTGATTGTCTCCGACACAAGATAGCACATATGAGCCATGAGACAATTACGTATTTACCGCGTTTGAGGAATCGAAGCTAAAAAATTAAAGATCTGATCATCGCCGAAAGGCACTTATGCGTGCATACCGTATAGGCGAGGCCGCATATTGGGATCTTGTACACCACGGTGTAATGACCCATGGACTTGAGTTAGTTTAAATATGTGGCACGTCCCTATCTTTTTATCACACCAACCTCATCTCTCTACAATGGCAACAGTTACTCAGGAGTCCGAAGCACCCCTACCTTGTGTTTCAACTGAGTCTGATGCCAATGGAACTCCCCTGCCGAATCAACTGCTGGATGCAAACAAACGCATCACCATCTTTCAGAACAATGTTATTGCAGAGGGTGTAACCATCAACATATCCTCGAGTCACTGCGACGGTTCCAGTGAGTTCTTCATATATATAACTTACCATTTATGCTCACCTTTCAAACAAGCTGTGACCAAGCTGGAATACGTCGCTGGCGTTGCTGGAACTACTGAGCCTACGTCCTCGCAGCCTCCGTTAGCCAGACAGTTGGTACCAGTGGAATACAGTCGCGAAAGTGTCATATTCAACGGCAACACTTTTGGCCAGTACGTTATGATCAACATAGGATCCCACAATTGCACAGGAGCTGGTGGGTCCTTTACTTCTGACCAAAATCCAAGAGCTTAAGAATCCTTTATCACTCACCAGTCAAGCAAACTGCTCTTCCTAAGACCTCAAACCAAGTACGACATTTTTGCGAAGCAAGGAAACCCTTTCGAGTCGTTACTTAGTTAAAGTCCTGTGTGGTCATTCATGATCCTATGTTGGACATTGTATTTTGCATCTGATTTTAGTCCTGCGCTGTCGTTCATGGCCCCATGTTGGGCGTTGTCATGTACTTACTTGATACTCACTCTGCATATCTACCAAATCTTCCGCTGCTTTCGAGGCAAAGATGCACGTACAGCGGGATCTGTTAGATGCGGGAAGAGCGTACATGCAAGGAAAATCGGAGTGTATTTGAATCTAAAAGACACATCCAGTCAGCACTCACTCTGTGCACGAAAAAACGAAACAGAATGAAACCCACCCAGCACCCGTTCCTGAGTCACCAAACACCAGCGTCCGCGCGTGCATCTTCTGGAGCTTTTCTAGATTCTCGGGGTCGATTTTTGTTTTCCCGTTCAGAGGGATATTGTCGAAGGAACACCAGCGTCGCTTGCGGCTGTCTGTGACATCAGCGAACAAGTGTGTGCATGGTGGTGGCGAGGCCAATGTTGCAGGAGCAAGGGCCAAAGCCGCATGACGTGACCCACATTTTTGCAATCGTTGTGACCTGTTGCGGCGCCCAAGCCCAGGACCGCACGCAGAGCCCTTCTGTAAGATAATCTTAACCAGTACCAGAAACAGATGGTAGAAAATTGTACGAAAGAGAAAGACAAGAGGAAAGGGAAAAACACACCCACTTCAACGACCTCACCAAAAGCGATCTCTCAACTGTAGGATCTCTCCCGGACCCGGACGTTCACTCAACCGTTGATCAGTAGACAAGCGTTCTCTCTGCTCCCTATCCCTATCTATGTCCCGGTGCCTCTCTCTCTCAGGACCAGGAAGCCTCAGATACACACGCTCCCTGTCCACTCTCTGACTTTGCATATGTTCCCTATCCCTATCCCATTCATGCAGATGCGGAGGAGGCAACGCCTGGAACTGCCCTTGGACAGGTAACATCCCCCCACAACCCTGCTGGATATGAGAATTATGTGGTGGTGGTGGTGGTGGTATATGCACATGCCCATGACTTGATGGGTGTCCATGAGTATTATGTGCGTGAGGCGATAGGTGGGTGTGGGTGTGGGTGTTTGCCAGTGCATAGGGGGTCAGGAGAGTCGAGATGCAAGATGGCTGCTAGGTCCTGGCCCCGGTCCAGAATTAAGGTTAGGTCCTACCCTCTATCGTTCCCCTACGCTGGGTTTATCTGGCTGCATCTCTCCTGGGCGTTCCCTTTCTCGATCTCTGTCACGATCCCATTGCTGCTGCTGCTGCAAACGCAACCTCTCCGCTCTCTCACACAATACTTCTCGGTCCCTGTGGATCGTCATCTCGCGCTCGCAGTCTAGAGGGGGAGCGATGGCATGGAAGCGTTCTCTTTCGCATTTGCGCTCTCTTTCCCTCTCCCTATCACGCTCTAGCCGCAGCACATGCGTGTGCAGATGGGGATGGATAGGACCAAGGTGGAGCTGCAGGATGCTGGGGCCTGCGGGGATGGGACCACGCTCGGAGGGAGGGCGAGGGCGGTCTAAGCGTTCCATAGGGTGAGCGTGTGGGTCGCGTCTATCTTTGGTGAGAGGTTCACGTCTGTCCATGGGTAGATCGCGTCTGTCTATTGGTGGATCACGTCTATCCAAACTTAAAGGTTCTCTTCTCTCCATGCCCATCTCCCACCTCTCCATCTCAGGTTCGCTCTCTCGAGCAGCCGCGCAAGTGCGGACGTGTTATCTTTTGAATCGTCGTCAATGATGATGAGCTCGTATGTACGTGCCTGGCGGATGGAAGTGGAGTTAAGGTGATCAAGTGTCGTTTCGAGCATGGACCGGAGACGGGATGTCTTGTTGTACGCGGGAATGATGACGCTGAGATCAATGGAGGCTGCATTGGCGAGAGATGGAAGGCTGAGAGGGTCTTTGAGGGATTTTCGTGAGCGGTATGTCTTTTCCAAGGGTCGGGCAAGATGAGAGCTAGATAGAGCTAGTGATGATTAGCAAAGATGGTATGGAGAAGATGGTCAGGTAAGAGGGAAATGATTCCCTGACCCAGGATTTGTCGTCCTCACTGCGGCGCAACGTCTGTCGAGATAGTCCGTGGCTCAAAGAACAATGATGAAATGGGTGCTCATCATACAAAAACGAAAGACCAGATGTTGGTATTGAAATTATCACTCACACAGGGTAATGAGATGGCTAGAGCAATGAGCGAATAAACAGATTGGTCCATTTTAAAGACTTATTACCGGAACCATACAGTAAATTGAAGCGAGAAATACTTTGTCAATTGAGACTCTGGGTCACTGAGAATATTCGGAAATGTTATCGTGCCCTTCCCGGTGACTAGTAACATAAATCCAACTGCTATGCAGTAGATAAAAGTCCACAGACTGGTCTTGCTTCCTTCGCACCTAGATAATTTGTTGGGGGCACACTGCACGCCCTCCATCAATGAAATTAATAACATGACCACAACATTGAGGAAACCTTGGCTGGAAAGTAACTTGCATGAAGAAACATGACCAGGTCTATTCCATTATACCAGTGGACAGCACCTTGAGGACAAACCCTGACATTCAACGACATGGTTACCACCCACTCGGTTACCATATTTAAGGTAGGCAACCGTGGTGATTGTCACTTTATGATAGGCCTGCTGCGCACTCATTCACAACACATTTAATAATGGGAGTCTCATGATGGATTCAAAAGAGCCGCTTCAAGTTGGACGGTTCCAGAATTGGAGATAGAGCACTGCAATGTCACACACTAAGGGGGGCAAATGCCGTGCATATGCATCATCCATGGACCACGGGGGATGTGCTGTTAGTATATCTTGAATATATATATATACTGTCACTTGCCGCATCTCAGATCAACCTTCAATGTTGCAAATTTACACTGGATAATTATTGAAGATGAGTTCTGATTGGCTGTCATTGATGTCATCATTGACCAGACAGATCCGTAAATTATTAATTAGTATTCGGCGGCGTCTGTGTATCATTGAAACAAGTTAAAAGGCGCACTCTATCCTGCTTTTACCAGCACCCACCCCCAAACTCTACAATGGATTCTTCTACTAAAACATACTCACCTCGTGCTTCAACAGAGTTATATCTGCCTCTTGCTATTGTCCCATTGCAAGATGCTATTGCAATGCCAGCGTCACCCAGTCATGGCTCCATGACTGATGGCATTCCACTGCCAAGTGTCAAACAGCCATCCCCGAACCCACCAAGCAACTGTATCATAATCATACAGAACAACTATATTGCGGAGGGGGGAACCATCAATATATACTCAAGTCACTACAATGGTTCCAGTGAGTTCTTTGTATTTTTGACTGACAAGACCCACTTCACGATGTAAACAGCTACCACCAAGTTAGAATGTGTTACCACAATTGCAGAGCCTACGCCCTTCAAGCCTCGATCAGAAATGCAGGCAGAACCCGCAGAGCACAGTCATGAAAGCATAGTATTGAGCAGCAACATGTTTGGCGAGTGTGTCATGATAAACGTAGGATCGCCAAATTGCACTGGAGCTGGTAGGTCTTTTAGTTCATTCAAAAGAGACTTGGCTTACAGTTGATTGGCATCAGTTAAACAAATTGTTCTTGTGTCTTAAATTGACCTCGACGTCTAGCAGAATGGAGTAAGGGTTGATGTTGAATGTACTATTTTGCGCCCACCTGTATGCCTATGTAAAGATATCGACCAACATTTATTTCTAAAAAATCTGGATGCGCGTATGCGCCTGAGCTTGGTGCTCGTAGCCATTTCGCTACCCGCCTCCCAAAGGTAATAATGAGCTTGCCATAAAGAAAAAAACCACGGGAAGGGTGCCAATTGTATAGTGTTCAATTAAGGTTCAAAAAAAGAACAGGCGGTTCCTCGGAGTGTTCCGTGTTTCCTGTAGAAAAGCATTTGGATGAATACTGGAAGAACATGCAGCTGCATGACATCTATCATCGTGCATGATACAGAACCCTTAAAGGGGATGATTACTTCTAGAACACAATAGTAAGTTGCTACAGGAATTGGACTCACCAAATAATACCGTGGAACTTGATATGTTCCCGTTCCCCCTCCATACCAGCAACACAAATGAACTGATCGCGACATAGAACTTCTGAAGGCTAGGACACTGCCTTTCCAGAGGTTCATCGCTGCAGTGCCATTTTTAGTGCGAGAGTGGATCGTGTCGGCTTTTGAACATTTGAACAGTCATCAACGCGTCGACAATGAGCTTATATGCGTGCACCCACTGTATGTGGGCAGAGTTGAGGCTCCTGGGCATTGTCGTGAGTATGGATGAGACATGTGATGTCTTGATGTAGCAGGAACAAGGACACTATGTCGATGGAGGCTGCATCGGCGAGCATTGAGCTGGACCACAATTGCCCTAGACTCATTCTATGAGCGCCCGTAACCAGTGCAAGTTGATTCAGAAATAATAGATTTTACAGAGCGAAATCAATATTATGTAAGCCATATAGCGTCAGCGCCGCCATTCCAACCATCTATCCAGCGGATCTGCAGTCACTTTTCAAATTCGTTTGATTTCCAATATGTCAAGACCTGCAACATTTGTCCATTGCCCACTACCCAGAACTCGAGATTTCCTGCCCTGCGAAAAGGTCCTACTCGTGTACTTCTCTCTGACCATGAGGTCAATCAACTATGTACGGTCCGCCTTTGAAGCTCCCGTTTCAATGCTTGATGTTGTCAATCATCGAGCTGTGATGTCTTTCTCTTTCCTGCGCGCTGTTAAGTGTTGTTGCTGTTGTATCTTACACTGCTTAATCATAGGCTCTCATTCTGTTCTTCTGTGTGCATTTGCTTATCCTTTCCTCCAGTGTGCGATGTTTGTCTGCAAAGTCCCGTGCTACGTCGTATGCGCGCATGCTTGATGAGCGTTGTCTATCACATGCAGTTGCCCATACCACCTCAGATCACCCCATTACTATGATGCACCTTATTACCCTGAATATCATGCATTGTGCTTCGAATCCCCTGAAAACTGATGTTCTTGGATTTTCTTCCATTAACCGTGGCCGTTGTTTTTCGTGCACTGGACTGTTTGCAGATTGTATGTGGTTAGATGGCGAGTCGATTGTGATGGCTCGCAACGGTGTGTCCGTGTCATCATCTCTTATTGTCTTTCAGGCGTCCAACTATACCCACTGCGCTGCGCCACAACAGTCAACTTCTGACCTGATGGAGTTCTAGAGAGTGGAAGCGCGCAGATAAGATCTAACAGGTGAGTCTCGTCTCAGTATCTTGGTCAGAACTCTATATTGATGATGTATGTACCTAACAGGTGAGTCTCCTATGTCATCATCAATACATCTACTCGAAGTGTAAAGTAAAGCTAACTCACGTCTCAGTATCTTGGTCAGAACTGAGACACTTGGGTGGCTGGCTGCTGCCTTTTATACGGTAAGTGTTTTTCTAAACGATATTAAAACAAAACATTGATACTTGGAAGGTTTTGGCCCCGATGTCACATCTCTCGTCCCTGTGCCTCTTTTGCCCTTGCGCTCGGACCACTCACTCGTCATCTTGTTCCTCGGCTTCGGTCTCATCGGCAACATTTGACTCGGAGGATTCGGACTTCAACACTCCCCCTTGAGCGCAAGCCAGTCCCATTAGGGCCCTGAGCTTTTGCAAACGGGGGCATGGGAGGGCCTTGGTAAAGGCATTGGCCACGTTGTCGTCAGTGGGACAATAGAGAATGTTAAACGTGCTGTCTTTGACGTACGAACGTACGAAGTGGTACCTCAAATAGATATGCTTGGTGCGTGACTGGAACTTCTTGTTCGACACTAATGCGATGGCTGCCTGGTTGTTGCAGAATATTGGAATGGGGAGTGTGGGGGGCTCGTAGAGCTCAGTGATGAGGAGTTTCAGATAGAGCAGCTCACGGACGACGCTGGTAAGTGCTATGTACTCAGCTTCTGTGGTAGATAGTGCGATTAATGGTTGTTTTTGTGCACTCCAGGCGATGGGACCTCCGTTCAACATCATGATGTAATCGGACATCGAGTGCCTGTGCAGTTGGGAGGCCCAATCCACATCGACAAATGCCTCCAGTCCTGCATCTGTGGAGCCCAAGGTAAGCTCGTATCCATCAGTGGCCTTCAGGTAATGTAGGGCGCGTTTAGCTGCCTCCCAATGGGCTCTCCCCGGACTTCGCATGAACTGCGACAACATCGCGATAGCGAAAGCTATGTCCGGACGCGTGCTCGTCGCCGTGTACATCAATAACCCAATGGCACACTGATACAGTACGTCCTTCATGGCCTCTAGTTCTGTGTGTGTGGATGGGGACTGATCTGTGGATAGAGTGATGGCTGACTCCATGGGGGTGTGCACGGACTTCGCGTCGCCCAGTCGGAAATGTTCAACTATGGTGGCCACGTAGGCTTTCTGCGACAAGGTCAAGGTACGTGATGCTCTGTCTCGTGTTACCTTCAATCCCAAGAGCCATTTCAGTTCCCCCAAGTCGGATATTTCAAAATATTGCTGGAGCTGGTCTTTGAAGCAGGTGATGTGGGAAAGGTGGTTCGTGGTTACGGCCATGTCGTCGACGGAGACCGTGATGACCATCTTCTCATCAGAGGTATGCTTGAAATAGACCGCCTGATTGACCATTGACCTTCTGAACCCTAGCTCCCTGAACACTCCTGCTAATTCCTCCGCCCACTCGTATCCTGCCTGCTTGAGTCCCGGTAAGCTTCTTTTCAGCCTCAACACCTTTCCACATTGATCCTCCCTCAAGTATCCAGGTGGTGCATGCATGTAAATCTCTTCTTGGATGCTGGCGTAAAGGTAAGCACTCTTGATATTGACTTGGTGGATTTCCCAGTCTTGCTGAGCCGCCATTGCTAGGACCGTCCAGATCGTGCTCATATTGGCAGTGGGGGCAAAGGTGTCGAAGTAGTTGACACCGTACTTTTGCCTCTGGCCATTCGTGACAAGCCGGGCCCGGAGCTTCAATCTCTCTCCGTCAGGTCTACGTTTCATCGCCAAAACATAATGGCACGGTATGACATTGGCGCCTTTAGGTGGGTCAATGACTTCCCACGTACCTAACTTCTCGAGCTGACTGATTTTGTAATCCAGCGCTTCTTGCCACTCCACCGCATCAGGACCATTTAGAGCTTGCTGAAGGGTGGGTTCCGGCTCTGCCGCAGCCAAAGCTAGGTGAATGTGCACCTCCTCATCTAGGAGGTCTAATGCTGATGCCTCTAACAGGCTATCTAATGCTAGGGACACGGTCTCCCCCTCATTGAGGGCCGCATAGTATCCAGGGGGTGGCCTAGTGCGAGTCGTCCTTGGAGCTGGTGGGGTTATAGGGCGTTGAGGTTGGATTCTGGCTGGGGTTGCTGGTGGAAGGATGGACTGAACGACAGGTACATTGTTAGTATTGCCGCTATTATATTCGTCGTGCCGCATGACGATGGACTCCCCCTTGTTCAGGGCATCCTCTGCCACTGTCACCTCACTCGGCACAAAGGTGACGTTGCGCTCGATGGAAATCCATCCCTTACCCGGCCAATACACCCGGTAAGCCTTACTCTGGGTGTCCATCCCCACAAAGATCGCTTCCTCCGCCTTGGCCTCCAACTTTCCAGCATCCTCAAGATGCACAAAGATTCTGGCACCGAATTCTCACGCATGGGAGAGGTTGGGCTTGGTCTTGATGACCAGCTCAAATGGTGTCACACCCAGTGCCGCCCTAGATGGTAGGCAATTTTTCAGCCAGGTGGCATAATTAACTGCCTCTGCCCACAGGTTCTTGGGGAGGTCCTTCGCCAGCAACATGGCTCTGGCGTGCTCGACGAGGGTGCAGTTCAGGCACTCGGCCACTCCATTCTGCTGAGGTGAGTCATGCACTGTGAGTTGTCTTTCGATGCCGCGCTCACGCAAGTACTCGTCGAATTCAGCACTTAGGTACTCTCCTCTGCGATCAGATCTGACCTTGCGGAGCTGGATGCCTGGATTTTGGTGTGTGAGCCAGGCCTCATAGGCCTTGAAGGTGGTGAGTGCCTCGCTCTTCAGCTTCAAGAACTGAATTTTGGTCTGACATGTGCAGTCATCGGTGAAGGTGATGTAGTACCAGCATCCGCCCAAGCTGGTGGTTTGTGCGGGGCCCCATAGGTCCGTATGGACCAACTCTCCATAGGTGCGTGCTCTGTTGTGGCTCTCGTTGGGGAATGGCTTCCACGCTGACTTTGCTTTGACACATGTGTCGCAGAACTCCGGCTTGGAGTCCTTGTCCAGGGCAACACCCACGACAAGGCCTTTGTTTACGGCCTCGACCACTGCAGGCTGGGAGACGTGGCCCAGCACCCGGTGCAACTCACTCACAGTAAGCTTTGTTTTGGCAACGTTCGCATGGTGCTGACTCGTCTTTCCCACCGCTATGCTGTATAGACCTTCCACTTGCGGAATTTCCGCAATGACTCGGTGTTTCAGTCCCTGGGACAAGACCTTACACATGCGCTGTAGAGACTCATGCCTCTCATTGTGCAATATTGCAGTTTTCACTGGGGAGTACATGGCACGAACTTGTAGCATCACTCTGTGTGCTACCTGCAGCTATCTCTATATGAGGCGCAGCTTTCCCGCACAACGCGCGCCATGCGCGCGTACCTTTCCCGCGCTTCACGATGTATATGTGCGCGCGCTTTCCCGCGCTTGAGCGCCCTATAGCGCCAGCCATCCGGAAGCATCCATCCACTGTCCACCAAGTTCCCTAGTGCGTATATTTCCATTTCTCACATTTGCTTATCGTTCCATCTTTATTTTTATCATGGACCCTTACTTACATATATCTTTACATACCTTACTCGGTAGCGCTTCGGCTCCGCATGACAGCGCTTAGGCGCCATACTTAAGCGCCAGCAGTACATACTATGACTGACTAACTTACTCTCCCATGAGAACGACAGAGGACTTACTGGTTACTACCCACTATTCACCTAGCAGAACATAGTAGAAATCTATTTGTTTACACCTCGCATCTCTCTTCTCTTGTCTTACATCATATCATCACTTAAGCAAACTCACTCTTACTCTCTCTCATATCTGTATACACGCGCACGCTTTCCCACGCTTCGCGCCATACACGCGCGCATTCCCGCGCCTTGCGCGCACCTGCGCTTTCTCGCGCTTCGCATTGGCCAACCAGTAGCGCTTTCAGCGCATACCTCTAGATCCTTGCTGCACTCACTTCCCCTTTAGGGTCGAACGCACTTGTCGTCTCAAGTATAGCAGACTAGGCAACGCGCGACCTTACAACATTTATAGATACAGTCAGGAGCATTGTTTGTGCCTCGCTGTATCGTTGAACCTTCAGCGCCCCTCGAAGAGGACGGCCATGCCTGCGGCTGCTATGCGATTGGTGGATATGAGGGTGAAGGCCATGGCAGGTGCGTATAATGTGTTTTTGAGTATGACTTTCGTGCATTTCTCACCAAGGGGCAATTCTAGCTCGATGTCTCCTCGACCTATGGCGCTCAGGCTTGAGCCATCGGCCGTGCGGATTTCCTGGGGGGATATTGAGGTGAAATTGGTGAATTTCGCCCGGTCTGGGCAGAAATGCGACATGGCGCCAGAATCGACGATGGCACCACGGTGTTCAATGGGGATTTTCAGGTCCTTGGCGACACTTGCCAAGTCGGACAATACGAACGCGTATTGGTCCTGGGACCTGGACTCTGCTGCCGAGTTCGCTGTCTCCTTCTGTCCCTTTTCACCTTTTCACCTTTGCTGATTCAGGCCTTGGCCCTCTTTTCCCCCTCCAGGTCTCCAACAATCGGTCTTGTAGTGACCTTTTCGGTCGCAATTATAGCAGGTAATGTCTGTGTTTGCCTTGCTCGACATAGCTGACCTTTTCCCCTTGTCTCTAGGCTCCCTCGCACTAAGTGCAGTGCCCGCACTCCCCTTCTTACTGGGGCACTTCTCAGTGAGCTGACGGTGCTCGTATTCCTCCGTAATGATACTGATTAGTTCGTAGGAGGACAAGGGGGTCTTTGTGATCTTGGCGGCCGTGTTAATGGATGACAGGAGAGGGCGATAGGATTCGGGGAGTGAGCCAAGAATGATGGTGTGGAAGTCCGTATTGAGGATTCCTGCACCCATGCCTGCGAGTAGCTCGTGCAAGCGCAGCATCTCGGCGAAGTGGGCTTTGACGTCAGCTCCCTCCTCGCACCTTGTCTCCTGCAAGCGCCGCCATAAATCGATCTGGACCAGTTCAGTCTTGTCTTCGTGGATCTGGCATATCTCCTCCCAGACCTCTGAGGCAGACTTGAACTTCTGGATGCGCAGCAACAGTCGGTCGGTAATCATACTGAAGATTTGCTGCTTAACAAGTGAGTTCTTTTGGTCGTACTCGTCCATTTTCTTATCGCGTTCATTGATCTCCTTTTGAGAGGGAATCGAACCATCCGGTTTTTCTGGTACTCCCGAATCCTTGCCAATGAGGTAGGGTAACGGCTCAACGGCACGGCCATCTGCATATTGCATCAAACCTCGGGCACTTATCGCTGTCAATGTTCTCTCCTTGTAGGTAATCCAATTCGTGCCATCTTCAGCAAGTTTGGGGACGTTGAACACCGAGGACATAGTGCCGGGGAGCATATTATCGGTGGCCATGTCAGGGCTCATAACCTCTAGAGAGCAGAAGCACGCAGATAAGATCTAACAGGTGAGTCTCGTCTCAGTATCTTGGTCAGAACTCTATATTGACGATGTATTTACCTAACAGGTGAGTCTCCTACGTCGTCATCAGTACATCTACTCGAAGGGTAAAGTAAAGCTAACTCACATCTCAGTATCTTGGTCAGAACTGAGACGCTTGGGTGGCTGGCTGCTGCCTTTTATATGGTAAGTGTTTTTCTAAACAATATTAAAACGAAACATTGATACTTGGAAGGTTTCAGCCCTGATGTCACATCTCTTGTCCCTGTGCCTCTTTTGCCCTTGCGCTCAGACCACTCACTCATCATCTCGTTCCTCAGCTTCGGTCTCATCGGCAACATTTGACTCGGAGGATTCAGACGTCGACAGTAGTGACATCTGTTGTTGCATTCAAGGATTGTTTCACTGCTTTTTTCTCGCACAACCCCGCCGTAATCGCAAAACATTCAAACACTTTGATGCTCCCCCTTCTGGCTCTCTGTGTTGCCCTCTCACACAAAAGGCACGAACGTTGGTGTTATCCTGCAGCATTTTCTCGGCCTTTGTGAGCGAATATTTTGTTGGTTGATGCTGGAGCAGTTGACTGATGTTTGCGTGCCTTCAAACTAATACTGTGCATATATCTCTATCAAATGTTTACTAATACAAGGTCGTCGCGTTGTCTATTCTCGTTCTCGTACTAAGACCGGTAATGAATTGTTTAAATTTGGCAACACCCTTTGTTTCTGCAGTCAGCTGGCTCTCAAATCATCATTTCCCAAGCGATGACAAGATCATAGCAGAATAAAAGGGGTCTGATACACATGTAAGTACAATGCCAGTTTCCCACAGATGGATTTGTAGAGGAGATCCGGCATGTTTGTTGCAACAGAACGGATCCCACTTGTTGCTTATCGTGGGAGTGGGCTTTGCACACTTCCGGCTTTTGCTTGCTACTTGGGTTTTTTTTGAGCCCTCCCCTGCCCTCCCCCCACTAACATGGGAGTCAGGGATATCATAGAACCCTGTTATTAAAAGAGCTTATGTTATCACCCACCCTAGCCTCATAAAAGGTGTGTTTTGTGCCTGTGCTTCTCCGACTCATTGCCTACATCACCCAGGTGCCTAGTCGGAGCTGATGCCTGCGGCATAAAACAACTCAGGGGATCGCACGTACTATTATGGTTTTCAGCTTCAGCTCTGGAGGCCTAGGCCATTTCATCATGGACTCATGTTTGCATTGCCTTCAGCTCAATGAAGGATTCTATCATATCAGTATATATTTGGTTAGCATGCACATCCTACATGAAGCTTGAAGTCTGAACTCAGTGCTCTGCACTGCTAGGCATGCGCTAACTTGGAGCGAAATATCGCTCTATTGTGTCACTTCTAGACTGAAGAAACAGTCGTATTGATGATATCAACGTGGTACTACATATTATTTTCCCTCCTACACTGTGTCGCAGTAACTCTCACTATCTTTCGCGTTGTCATCGAGATATGATTGTATAAAGTTTGAGCGCTTATGTCAGAATGTTGAATGGATGGCCCAGGATCCGACAAGAGGACGGTCCCAGTTGTCCAGTATCCACCTGCGAAGTTTCGTATCGTAGTATTCGACATCGCCAAGGTTGGGGCTAAGTGCTCGAAGGAGATCGTGGTGGTCGGACAAAGAGCAGACCGTAGACTTCTCATATCCCGTCACAGAGATGGGATCAGCATTGCTCTGCATTCAGGTTTGTTAACAGCAGCGAGACAAATTCAAGTGTCGCACCTCATCCCAGTAGTTGACTATAAAGCGACCTTTCAGGCACTGCTCATGAGTCCTCTTCATCTCCATGCGACGCTGGTGCTCCGTCTTGAGAATCTCATGTTCAGTATGCATAGTGAGCCATGTATCATTAAGTTGAGTACTAAGACAAGGATCAAGGGTCTGGTGTGCTGATTGTGAAGAACTTGGGTGTGAAGCGAGGATCTTCGTTGCAGCAGAACCTAGGAGTGGTAAGGGAGGTTGCGACACTGAGGGGGGTGCTTCGGCAGCCAATGCTTCATGAGCGGTGCCATCAAGACCTATGGCAGGGACAGGCAGGTGAGACAATGGGTCCGGACCACCGGCAGGATCGGTGTCGAGCAAGAAATCATTGAGAACGTCACTTTCAGTTGATGTGAGACATGTGGCTGACACTGGGGGTGCTGATTCAGACTGAGCAGACGGAAAGCCATGGGTAGAACATCCACCACTTATAACACAGTGCGCTTTGCACATATGGTGTGGGCACATAGCTCTGACGGATTTAATGGCACAGAAAGACGTAGCACACCCTTTGGCCATGGTAACAAGCGTGTGTGGCAGGCAGGCAGGTATCACAGGGAGGACGAGAGGTATCGCAACTGATATGAGGGAAACGAGTGTGTGCAGCAGGCAGGTATCACAAGGAGAATGAGAAATATCACAGTGGGAACAGGCAATGCACGTCGCAAATATTGATACCAGGGAAACGAGCGTGTGTGGGTATCACAGGGAGGATGAGAGGTATCGCAGCGAGAACAGGCAATCCAAATGATATCAGATAACTAACAATATTAATATTATTGACATATGCACGTCAGGTAGTTTCCAACTCCAACTAAACTGCCATAGGACGGGAATACCCGCCGTACTTTGGGCCGTACTGTTCTGAGCCGTAGGGTTGGGTTGAGTGACTTTTACCAGGATCCTGTGTGTGAAACTTAGCAGTCTGGGAAAGTGGCCCTGTAGCTGATTGGCCTGATCATCTCCTCAAATGTCTACGTTCATACAATGTTCATATCACATTCATTTTCTGGTGGCGGAGTCAGCGCAAGAACTTTAAACAGGACAAGATTCTTACCAACAGATTAGCTTAAATATGTGGTATGTCCCTCTGTTTTTATCAGCAACCTCATCTCTACAATGGCAACAGTCACTAAGTCTGATGCCAATGGAACCCCCCTGCCGAATCAAATGCTGGATGCAAACAATCACATCACCATCTTCCAGAATAGCTTTATCGCAGAGGGTGTAACCATCAACATATCCTTGAGTAACTGCGACAGTTCCAGTGAGTTCTTCACACATATAACTTATCATTTATGCTCACCTTTCAAACAAGCTGTGACCAAGCTGGAATACATCGCTGGCATTGCTGGAACTACTGAGCCCATGTCCTCGCAGCCTCCGTTAGCAAGACAGTTGGTACCATTAGAATATGGTCGTGAAAGCGTCATATTCAATGGCAACACTTTTGGCCAATATGTCATGATAAACATTGGATCCCATAATTGCACAGGAGCTAGTGGGTCCTTTACTTCTGACCAAAAATCCAAGAGCTTAACAATCCTTTATCGCTGACCAGTCAAGCAAACTGCTCTTCCTAAGACCTCAAACCAAGAATGACATTTTTGCGAAGCAGAGAAACCCTTTCGAGTTGTTACTTAGTTAAGTCCTGTGCGGTCATTCATGACCCTATGTTGGACATTGTATCATTTTGTATCTGATTTTAGTCCTGCGCTGTCGTTCACGGCCCCATGTTGGGTGTTGTTATGTACTTACTCGATACTCACTCTACATATCACAGTCTAGAGTCATTGCTTGTAATTGTTACGCACTCAAATAGATCTGTTATACGGAGCCCTAAGAGGGGCATCGTCTGCTAACGTTCGTGACGTAACTGGAAGGATCCGGTGTAGCAAGTGAGACTGGCGACGATGAGTCGACAGTGATCACAGTACGCGCTTGTCACGTGACTTCTGAGATGGATGTCTTATGAAGTCGCTCAACGTAAGGACAGTCTTGTCCGGACGATGAGGTCGATTGAGGTAGACTCAGTCGCGATGAGCAACTAAGAAAAGATACTAGAGACTGAAGCCAAAGGGGCGTTCAGAGAGAAGTATGTTCCAGGGAAGATTGAGTAGATTCAAGTTAGAGAATCTAGTACAGGGTGACCGACTACTTATACTAAGTGAAGAGGGTTAAGGGCAAGGCTACCGCACAGTAGGTAAGGGTAAAGGGGAAACGAGAATGGTATAGGTGCGTTGGCAACAGAGCCAGATTAGCGATGGATGGTCGAATGTGGAATGAGACCGAGAAACGTTGGAACAGACCAACGGTAAGAATACAACGTGTGGGAATCCGCAGTCAGAAGGTAACAGAAAGGGAAAGCCACATTGGTGGCATGAGTCAGACCGAGTCATAGGTGCGGGACCACATAGGTGGTCGAATCACGGGAGGAACATGCGTGCACGTGCATAGAGGCGGGCGATGCGAGGGATGGGAACGATCCCGATGATCCGGTCAACGGAAAGTCGGTAAAGGAGGACGAGCCGGTAGATGGTGAGGGCGAGGATGAAGGGAAAATGATAGGGGGGCCATGTGACCAATGTTACTTGTAACAGTAATAAATCAATAATGCACCTTGGTGCCCGCTCATTCACAACTGGCGGTTCAGATGCATGACAGACTGTACTATGCACTCTCAAGGCAGTCAAAATGTGGCATTATGTTTCATTATCAAACTCCGTTCCAATCCAAACGGACCACGGGCCAAGGGGATTACCAGTTAGATTTAGGTTGTGATTTGACATGAGGAAAGTGAAAAAAAACAAAATCAACATTCATTTCACGGCAAACAAGTAATAACCGCTGTGACTGTAGTACGTACCCATATGAAAGAGTCAACCTGTGTTCATCCTGCCTTTCTGATTAGCAAAAGCAAGCAAACCCAAACAAGCAAATCAAGACTAGATTGCCACCTCGAAAACACTGCGCGTCCTCAAGGCCTCATATTCGGTATCTTTTGTAACGAGAAGATATCCATGTCACGGTCACTCTCCATGCATTGAGGAGATTATGGAATGTGATCTCAACTTGAAGGTGATCGAGCCTGAATTCGACTTCCCAGAGGCGTGCAACTTCAATTTTGGACTTCAAGAACAGATCATTCTTAGTTGGCGATAGGATTTTGGTAACAGTTTCTTCGGATTGGACTTTTATGTTATGAAGGATCTCGCTGGTGCCTGTGTTGCTGCAGGGAGGATAGACTGGGACATGTGTGCTCCAGCTCAGGGCGGAGAGTATGACTCAGTTCACGCAGCGCGTTCGATGGTATTGCAATATCAGCAAGTCCCATTTCTTTGCAAATTGTTAATGCTGTCATCTAACCTAGACTCGTGACCAGTCTGTCTGATATTGTGGCTTTTTCCGTGGATATTTATTTCTTCATCGTGAGCTCATTATTACCTTTGGGGAGGCAGATGCCGAAGCGACTGCATGGACGGGTGCATATAGCTTGTCCCAATTTAGAAAAAAATGTCAACGAACTGCATCTTTCATACATGTGCATACAGGTGAGTTTATTACAAGACCAGTGAGCTTCTTCCCCTAAATGTTACGGTCACGTCAGGATGCAAGAGCCGTTTGTTTAACTGATGCAATCATTCTTCAGCCAAATTTCTTTTGGATGAACTTGATGACCTACCGGCTCCAGTGCAATTCGGCGATCCTACATTTATCATGACGCACTCACCGAACGTATTACCGCTCAACACTATGCTTTCATGACCGTGCTCCATTGGCTCTGGCTGACTCGTCAACAGAGGGTCCAAGGATGTGGGCTCTGCAGTCAGTCCGACATGTTCAAACTTGCTCACGGCTTGTTTACAAGATGAGTATTTAGTAATGTCAGACATGCAAAAAAACTCACTGGAACCGTTACAGTTACTTGAAAGTATGTTGATGGTTCCCCCCTCCGCAATGTAGTTGTTCTGTATGATGATAACGCAACTACTTGGGTTCGGTGGTGGTTGTGTGCTACTCAGCAGTGTATTACCATCAACATGAGTGGAGGGCATCATGTTTACATCTCGGAGTAGTGTAGCAATCAGAGGCAAGCATGCCTTGTATATTGCATTAGCACCGCCCAGCCCCAGTGAGGACAGCATACTCTTGAGTGCATCCATCAAGGATGAGGGTATTATAGAGAAAGTAAGAGGAGGTGCGCTTCTTGCCCAGGTTATGGATAGTCTTTTAAGGTACTTTATTAGCACCTCGCATGTTGTACAGGGTGGCGGGCTGTACATCTTCGAATAACGAGATTAATAGCTGCTTCCCACCTAAAATCAATCCCGGTGTGATCTGAAAAGTATTAGGGCAGCGGAACAACCAAAAGGGGTGGTCACAGGATAAGATCTAAGAGAGCGCAAGGCACACATCCCCATATAGCTTTTCAAGCAGTTAGTCACAACTTAGGTAGTGACAGTGGAGTTGTACTAGAGTCCCCCTCGCTGCATCAGGAAAAGCCTCCTGGGCAAAAATCGTAATAATTTGCGCTAAATGATGTTATTCTGATAATTCTATCTAATTTCAAGTTTTAGGAATAAAATGGCTAGAAGACAATAATGTACAATGGCATTATCAAGACTTATTTGAAAATACAGTAAGTGAATCTATCTAGATACGAGTTCAACCAAAAAGTGTCACAGTCATCTAGAACTGTATCACTGGACCACTCTCGCGGGACGACGGCACCGAAATTCGGTAGCCATACGCAACATTGGCAGTATGATTGTTAGAAATAGGTTGCCCAGCACGCGAGTCTGGATAGGGCACGATAACACAACCATGCTGCCCTTGGGCACGTTCTTGAATCTCCTGGTGACCATGGTGTTGTTCTTGACCGGTTGCTTCATCAGCGGCCAAATCATCCATGGCATCCATGTCATCGTGGTCATGTTGCTGATCAACCGGAGGCTCCCACTCAGGTTCGTTATTTGCTTCATCTTCCCATCCATCGTCCGCTCCCTCATCCGCATCACTACCATGGCCAGATCCCTTGCGAGCCCACTCAAACTCTTCCATGTCATACCCTCCATCATCATCAGGCCATTCCAACTCGTCATCAAGTTGCGGTTCACTAGTGTTGGCGTGTATCTGGGAGCGTGAGTAATTGTACAGCGCTCGACAATCAGGGTTTCGGCTCTTTGATAGATGATGACTGAGGCCTGTGACAGTGAGATTGTCCTGTCCACAAGCTGGGCAGCTTGCGGACATTGTGTTAGAGACAAGGGGGGTAGAGGTGAGGGAGTGAGACAAGGGGGGCAAAGGGTAGAGGTGAGGAAGAGACGCCCCCGACCAATGATAGAGAGTGAGAGAGTAGAGAGACGCCCCCGACCAACGATACAGACAGAGGGAATAGAGAAACGCCCCTGACCAACGCTACAGATGGTTAGACGATAGAGGGTGAGGGTGTAGAGGGTGAGGGAGTAGACGACAGCGCCCCCGACCAACGATAGAGAGAGAGAGGCAGTATCTGCTATGAGGGTGGAGGATGAGAGGGTTGAGGTTAGCCTGAGTAATGTTTAGACCCTCAAATTGAACGTACCAAATTGACTGCCTCCGAGCCCCTTGAAATGCAGGTCAACGTTATATTCGGCACCCAATTGAGGTGAACGGGAGCGGGAATTGAGACAGAACATGTGGCATGCGCATAGGCGTGACATAATGTGAATGCAAGTTCTTTCAGGTGGAGGGAGTAGTAGTAGACGGGAGCGGGAGGGAGTAGGCGTGACATAGTGTGAACGCAAGTTCTTTCAGGTGGAGGGAGTAGTAGTAGACGGGAGCGGGAGGGAGTATAGGCGTGACATAGTGTGAACGCAAGTTCTTTCAGGTTGAGGGAGTAGTAGTAGACGGGAGTGGGAAGAGCATAGGCGTGACATAGTGTGAACGCAAGTTCTTTCAGGTTGAGGGAGTACTAGTAGACGCTATTAGAGATGGAGGTTAGTCTGAGTATTGACTGAAAATTGAACCCTTGACGGCGAATTGAACTCACCGGTAACTGCCTCCGGCATCCCTTGAAATGCAATAATGAACAAAAATTTTGAGGCGCCAAGAGGTCGAGAGCCAGGACCCGCATCCGAACAGCATATGCGGACGACAGGAATCAGGAAGTAGACCAGTGCCCAATGAGCAGTATTAGCCGAAGTGAAGGGTGGACAGAGTAAAGGATGCTTTGTGCCAAAGATAAGGTGAAGGGTGAGGGAGTGGTGGATCAACGTGGCCGATATACGCGCAAATATCCTAGTGAGTCTGAGGTAAAATGAACTCACCTAACGACTCGGAACTGCCACCGATGCACTGCAATGCACACAACATCACCGTTAAAAATGACAACGAAAAATCTAACAGCGTTGTCAAATTTTTATTTCACCCCCCCTCCCGCTCTTTTCGTATCCTGAACATTCATTCAGTTAGCTTCCTGTCCTTGCAATCCAGTATAGCATGTACGCACCTCTTAATTCTCGTGGTGAGTTAAGCATATTATTTTGAAGATTGGCGAGACAGCAGCTTCTCACTGGGCTTGAATAGAGCCCTGAAATGCAAAGAAAAAAGCTATGGAAAAAGCCAGTAAGCAAGCGACTTCGGTCAGGCTTGAAATCAGAGAATTCAATGCTCACCTGCTACTTCAGTTTGGATGCCTGAAAAGTCAGCAAGAAAAGTTCTTCAACAGACTCAAGCACCTCCCAACCCACCGGCAAGTAGGCCACCCACCAAACCACCCACCAAACCATCTACCAAACCACCCACCAAAGCGAAACGACCAGCGCCAAGTGCGGTTGCTCAGATTGACCAGGGTTTGCCTTCAAAACTGAGTACATCACGTATTTAATCTTGAAATCATAGCGATAAGTACTAACTTTGATGGTAGAGCGTCAGCGTACCTTTGTGAACGAGGAATCGGATGATGGGTATGGTTCTAGTGGCCATGGTAGCGACTCAGAGGACTTGCGACCTGAAAAAAATCGAGGTGAGTTATAGATAACAAGGGGTTTGAATCTTACTCACTATGATGATGTGCACCATCCCAGCTGCCCGTCCTAAGAAACTCTGTCGCACTTATGCGATGCGCGATGTGACTGCGATGTTCGACTCCGACGAAGATCTTGAGGACAAGCCACCAAATGGCATTGATACTGATGCCGACTGCGAGGAGAGTGAGGGCGAAGAACCAGAGGCCACTGCCTTGATGCTCTCAGACGAGGTTAGTAGTTGCACTGGTTTACCTAAGCTGATCCTGCTGATTCTGAGTTTCGGAAGATGCCTTCGCTTGTTCAATCACGTGGCAACTCCTTGAAGCAATCCGCCAGAGAGCGAAAGCAAGCCGAGGAGGTGAGTCCATACTATTATATACTCTACGCTGATACTACAGACTACCTTCAGACTCCAATGTGGCGCGATGTCGACAACGCTGTCTCAGAGTCAGTTGAAGAATCCACTACTCGTGGTGACTCCTTGGAACCTCCCTCCAGCGACATTGAAGTTGTCCAGAAGGTCACCTCTGCAGCTTCTCTCGTTCGAACGGAGAAAGGAAACGTCAAACTACTCGATCAGAACCTGGAGACTCGGCGAGTAGTCCGGGATGCCATTATTGACGCTAAAGGTCACATCATCTTCGTCAATGCTTACCCTGAGCTCGTCGACAAAAACCAGGTATCACTCCAGTCTTTGCTAACGGTGGCCGAGAATCGCGGCATAAAAGCCATCAAAAAACGCCTTCAAACAGATGCTCAGTATGCTGCTCTCCTTGGTAGCTTGGTAAGTCATTCGCATGTCTCGTTTTACGGATTTTTTTTAACTATCATTGCTATTACTTGAGGTCGAGCCCCGGATCCCATTATTGCGGCGTGATCTGAAAGTCGCTGCATGTGCGAACATCGATAGCTACTTCCGTCTCAGCAACAACATAGTCAAGGCAAAAAAACTCATGGAGCAGCACGCATATGTATATGCCTTGAGGTTTGATGTGAGTTTACTCTGTCCCTTCCCTCCTTCGCCAACACCCAGGAGCGGGTTCTTTATCGTATTCCCATATCTTCCCTCCTTCACCAACACCCAGGAGCGGGTTCTTTATCGTATTCCCATATCGTTTCTCCTTCCTCGACCATTCTATTCTCTTACTAACTTCCCTCTTCAACAGTCCAACGACGATGCTTTGCCCATAGGGAAAAAGCCCTACCAGGGTGAACTACTGATTTTTCTGTTACACGACGGAGTCTTCAATGGTGCGAAGTCCATCGGTGTCAGATTTTCGGCGCGTTTTGTCGAAATTGCGAGAAACAAGGCCAAACGCCCCGAAGTCCCCATTCCATTGCTGGCGCTGGCGGCAACAGCAGTAATGTCCTTTCCACTAAGCCTTCATGCTGTGCTCATTTGTTTTCAAGATCTACGCGGCCCTTTTCTGGAAGACGCTTGGTTCACCGGGAAAGTTTAACTTTACCGGGAATCAATTCAGTGAAACTTATGTTTTCCATGTCAACTTTCTCGAGGGTTTGAAGAAGGACGCACCTGGAAAGTTTCACTGTATGATGGCTGACATTTTCGAAGCTGTACAGTAAGTTTCGCTGGTGTGGATGGTGCCATTCTGACATGCTGGATACTGACGCTACTTGCAGGGCTTTGAAACAGAAGGGCAATGATCATCTCGCCAGTGAGCATCGAAATGCTCTGTCGCTACTCGACTTGGATGGCATGGCCGATGATTAGGTTCTGTAGTCACGGTGCTGATCCATTCCTGTATATTGTGCATTCATTAGTGATTGTACCGAAATTCCTCATACCCTCGTCGTCAGCTGTTTCGCAATTACTTTAATACACATGTTTTAATCCAATATTAGTCTTTTGTTCTTGTAACATTGCCTGGGACGCGTGATCTGTGAACCAACATTTGTAATAACGGCTTCTGCAATTCACCACTATTATGTCTAATATCAGCTAAATCTTGATAATTATCCAACACTGAGGAGGGGGTTAAAAAGTCCTTCTAAACTATATAATCTTCCTAATTCTCCTAAGGCTG